TTAGAGCTGTTAAAAAAAAAAAAAACCAACAACTTTCAAATGTGTCAGCAAAATAATGCATCTCTCAGGGAGGAAACACTACCACTAAATAGATTAGTCCAGTTTAGCTAGAACATTGGGTACAGTTATGTTCTATTTCTGATCTTGTTTACAATAATCTATAAAAGCTTCCTGCAAATACTGTTTTTTAGAAAGGAAAGGTAATTTTTTTGTGTCTATTTAAATTGAGTGGAATGTTCTCCTAATGGTCTTACTTTGCAAAAGTGCAACTATTTCCATTAGTCTAAGAAGCTATGAAGAGACTTCTTGAGATGAGATTTGTCTGTAATAAAGCAAATGTGATGGTGTGGAGTCAGCATGCAATATATGGTACATCAATCTGCTATACTTGACAATTTGTGGACCTGTAGGAAGTATTGTCACATTCCTGACATATATGATAACATGTTAACTGTAAGAGTGTGCATGAGCTATGTGGAGCTCCACTCCTGGTTGTGGCTGTGTCACTAATTTCCAAGTGTGCTAGTGTCACTCAGCCACTAGGCTCCAGGTCAAAAGGATCTAGGTTTAAGCAGATGACTCTTTTCTGCCCCACACAGAACATTTTTAGTGCATTCTTGTTCATCAGCCTTCTGCATACATCCCAGCAAAACTTCAGTCAACCCCAGCACTCTGATTTATCCCATTCTCTGTGTAATGTCCATTCAGTGCCTAACAAAGCAAATCACACATACAGGTAAATATGAAGCATGATAACTTTTCCTTTCATAGATCTGGGGTGTTATTCAGCCACTGAGATTTTCCTTATGGAAGTTGAGAAGCTGTTACTATTATGCTTTAGTCTGGTGTCACAGCCCTTCCCCACCCGTATCCCTGCTGTGTGGTTAGCCTGGCAGTTTGCTCTTGGTGCTGCCCCTTGCAGTCTTGTGAGCTTGCTCCAGCTTGCTGTCCTTGTGAAAAGCTACCCACAAGTTCTCTGGTTACGTGTGACACCTCATGTGTATTGCGTGCTATAAGGAGAAATGATGCAGCCCATTATTGATTATTGTTATTCTGCTTCCCTTCTGCTTTGAACCCATGCAGTTCAAATTGACTTCTGCTGGTGGTAGGTACAGAACTGTGAGATAGAGTAACATAAACAGCTGGTAAAGTTGCCGAAAGAAGCAAGCTAGTTGTTACTAAGATGAGTAGAGTGCATACAGCAGCAAAATTTTGGGTCGAACACTTTGAGACATGAAATCGTGGAGCAGAGATGATCCCATGCACCCTCAGATTTGAAGTTCTTGGCACAAGTCCTGCTTTGATGGGAACCACAGCGTGTTTATGTACATAAAAATAAAGTGGTGGAAGCTTGGAAAGCATTGTTGTCATCCAGGACACAGAGGAACTATGAACTTTCTGCCTTCCTTTCTGTATTAAATCTTGGTGGGAGGCATAAAAGTCAACAAATAGTAGAAGAAGAAAGCTAGTAATTCAAGTACTGCAAAGAACTGAACATTTGGAAAATAAGAGTTGAAGTTAATGACGGGAGAAAGTCACTGAGGTCAAGGGGGCTGTAGAGCAGATTCCAAGCAATATAATAAAATGCAGTGAAGGCACTTAAGACCTGAATATAAAAGGTCTTTCACTAAACTGGAAATGAACTTGAAAAGTTTATCTTTTCTACCTTTAATTTATATTGAAATGTAAGGAAATTCTATTGTTTTGAATACATCTTTTTTTAATTTGGTGAGAGATTAAAGACTGTGATTGTTCTATAAGTTCATTATCTGGTTAAACTAGTAGGTTTGACTTGTCACAGAGAAAATCCTAGCTGATGGTGCCATGACTTGTGGAAGCAGTAGGTTTCTCATTGGGACAGGAGGCCATGGGGTTGGGTAATAGCACCTTCAGAAATTGCTTACAAATTAAATTATTCTATGATTCTAAAAGAAATGACTCTGCAGTCTCTCAACATTTTTTTTTAAATCAGTGAAATCTATAAATTAACATACTTCAGATCTAAAAGTGATAAGCTTCACATCCACTGAGTGGAAAAAAGATGGTAATACCGTGCACGGTATAGGAGCTGACCAACACACAAATCTACATCAGGAAGTTGTAGATATGGCTTGTGTTTTGCGTGATTACCCAAGAATCAAATCACAAGAGCACTCAATGTTTTAGTTCTGTGCTTTGCTTCTGAAAAATAAACATTCTAATCATAGCAGAAATAACTTTAAAAAAAAAAAAAAAAAAGATATCAGCAGTCCATTGTTAGTTTTAGAGGTTATAGAAACTCTTCTTTCAGTTCAGTTTCAGCTGTGCTTTCAGTTCGTCAGTCCTATTTGGCTCATGAGAAGATCTGTTTGGTAAAGATTCAGTGTGGCTTATGTTGTTGTTCTGTGCTTATTTTTGTGGTTTCAGGGAAGTAATTTTAGGTAGTCAGGAATAATTTTTAGGGAAATAATTTTAGGTCACCAGAAGTTATTTCACTGATTACAGGAATAATCTTCACCACTAATTACATATTTGTACTGAGAAACAAGTCAGAAAACACTTAAGGATAGAATTATTCTAGAAGACAATTTATGCAGCAGAAGAAAATCATACATATAAGCAACAGACTTCTGCCACAGATCAGTAGGCACAATTACTTGTGTGTGTGTAGAGATATTGGTATCTAACTCCCCAGGCTGAGATGGGAAGGGCCTGTTTTCTGGAGGGCACCATGTTGGGCCTCCCGGTCACAGTAGGGTCAGTTGGAGGGGCTTATTCAGGGCAGTATACTGTCAGGCTTTGAGTATCTCAGTGACTGGGGACTGTGACCTCTCTGGACAACCTGTGCTGATGTGTGGCCATTCTTCCAATCAAAAAGATTTTTTTCTTACATTCAGGTAGAATTTCCTGTATATTTCAGTTTGCATGCATTGCCTCTTTTCATTGAGTACCATGAGAAGAGTTGGACTTTTTTTGGAGGAGCTGGTTCTTGAAAATCAACCAGCAATCCTAGATTCTACTTCTTTCCACTGCAATTTCCCAAGGATTTCTTCCAATCAGAGCCATGAGCTGGCCCAGATCTGCTCTCCTGAAGTTCAGGGTTGTAGAATCATAGACTCATAGACTCATCTAGGTTGGAAAAGACCTTCTAGATCACCAAGTCCAACGGGACCTGTCCCATCACTATACCATGTCATTCATTTGCACATCTCTTGAATGCCTTCAGGACTTGGGACACCACCGCTACCCTGGGCAGCCTGTTCCTAGGCTTGACTACTCTCTCTGTTAAGAAATTCTTCCTAATGTCCAATCTAGATCTTCCTGGTGCATTTTGAGACCATTTCCTTGTGTCCTGTCGCTTAGGATCATGGAATCACCGAAGTTGGAAAAGCCTCCAAGATCGTGTGATCATATCTGCGCCGTTCCCTCTTCTCACAGGCTTTAAGTTCACCATTTCATGGTCACAGCAGTGAAGGCTGCTCCCAAACTTCACCTCTCCTTCAACTGCCCAGTGATGTGCTTCTTAATCTGGAAAAAATTTGTCGTGATAGATAAACATTTGCCAGGATAGAGCCGTGTAGTTTATTTTAAGAATTAAAAATAGATACGTTTAATATACAAGTCATAAATTTGTTCTTTTACCACTTTTTAAAATACATTTACTTATTCTCCTTGTTCATCCAGGTCTGTTTGCTGAGGGAGTCAGGGTCAGAGAAGCACAAAGCGTTCATTCTTCATTTGCAGATAACTGCATAAAAGGCCTGGAATGGTACAGGAGGGTGAAAAGAGCACAGGCTTTGGTGAAACCAAGAGCAGTTCCAGGAAAAAAATGTTTTGTTCTTTTCTTATTCCCATAGCATCTTTTTCTCATTAATGAAAAGAGATGAACGTCTAACATACACAAGTGTCACATGAACTGGATGTGGTTACTTGCTGCTTCATCCTCGTATGTTAAGTGGCTAAAAAATTGTGAGGTGAATAAAGCTGAAATGGACTTGAGCTGATTATGGAGCAAATGCATGCTATTTGAGATAATAAAGGTTTGTTTTACCATTAAGTTTTTCTTTTACATGATTAAAAAATGAAGCACAAAGTTGCCTGAGCATCCTCCTGCAGCCATGACCCTGAGTTTACCTTCCCCTTTGTCCTGGCTGTGGAGGATCAGCTGATGACTCAAAGGTGAGGCAGTACTTCCTGAGTCATACTGAGTATTTCGTCATCTCTTGTTGGAAATCTGCTAGCTATATGTATGTGTATGATTCGTTGTTTATTCAAATGATCACACTGAAGTCTTTACGAGCACCTGGAGTACACTCAGCTTTTATTGTGTAACTTTTTTTTTCTCTCCAAGTTCTTTGCTGTTTTCTCTGTTGGTTTACGTATATTGTAGTTATAATAAGCCATAGAAATGTCTGAAGAAGATGGAGATTGCATCTCCAGTGCATCTTGTAGGCTCAGGGATGCCTTCTCCTAGGGAAGATGGCTTCCCTGGATTTTAATCTACTGTTCCCTGGCTTTCTTCTGTGCTGTCTGCAGCTGAACACTTGTGAAGTAAGCTGCCAATTCTTTATGGGGAACATTTGTTCTATCAGGAAACAGCCACACTTGGTATGACCTGTTCTCAAAGTAATCTGGGGGGAATTAAGAAGCTGGCAGAATTCTCTCCTGTACCAAAGATCATGGCCCTGTGGCAGCAGCATGTGCTGCAGAGGAACCTTTGTCTCAGGTGAATCAGAGCAGCGCAACGTCACCAGACACCAGCAGTGCTCTTCTGATAACACGTAGATGATGCTGAACTCTTGATGAGGAAACAAATGGGCAACTTATCTAGTCAGTGTTTTATCTTATTGTAACATAGATCTGTTGGAGAAATACAGGATCAATTTGGATGGTTTTTCAGAAAGTAAAAACAGATCAGTCGTTTAAGAACAATTACAGCAGGGAGCCCTTTTTAGTGTTGCAACTTGCTTGTCATAAAGCACAAGATGCTAATCTTGTGGATTTTTTTTTTCCTCTTACAGGTGCCTGAGATTATAAGCTCTATTCGACAGGCTGGAAAAATTGCTCGTCAAGAAGAGTTTCAGAATAATCTTTCAGATATTGAAGACCCTTTTGCCAAAAAGTTTGAGGTGCTGTTCTGTGGACGTGTGACTGTAGCACATAAAAATGCACCCCCAGCGCTCATAGATGAATGCATTGAGAAATTTAATCATGCGAGTTGTACAAAAAAGTCAGATTCTGACTCCTCATCCCAACAACATGAAACTGCCAATAACTCCGGAGGCTTCTCTTTCAGCAACAAATTTCGGTCTGTCTTCCAGCCCTTGATGGGTGAAGAGGAGGAGAAAAGGCCAATTAGGAAATCCTTTTCCCAACCTGGACTTCGTTCCTTGGCTTTTAAGAAGGATTTTCAAGAGGGAAGCCATAGGAGTAACAGCTTTGTCAGGTCTTTTGAAGAAGATGCCATTTCACTAAACCTAAAAAGTCAACTTATCTATGGACACAGTGTTGTGCAGCCAACAGACATTGCAGAAAACCGGACAATGTTGTTTACGGTAAAGCAAGATTTGCAGCTAATGGTCGTGTTCTTACATCTTGCAGTTTGGAATGGCAAACAGCAGAGCTCTTTTTCTTGCAGATGGCAGTTACTTCTTTAATAACTTAATTGCAATTACCAGAGCTAAAACTAAACTCGCCTACTTCTTTATAAAGCACTACCTGTCAGTATAAATTATTTTATGTAGTTAAAATGGCTTTGTACTACGTACTTTAAAACAGCACTATCTGAAGTGTTGGACTTCTAAAGAAAACTGTTTAGAATGCAGCAGGAAGTTAGTTCCTAGCTACACAATTGCGACACAGTATGTGTAGTTACTCTGGCTATTAACAGAAGAAATAAATTTACAGGTGAATGAATTACATGTAACTAGGGCAGAAGAAACGAACCATGACGTGGGCTAATAGAATTTATGTCCTATGCTAAGCAACGTAATTTATGAAGGATTTCCAGCTTCCTAATGTCTGTGTAATAATGCAGTTGTACAGTGACTCCTCCCCCTACTCCACACTGTGTACGCTGCTGTCTTGCTTTTGTGTGGCTGGGAATGCTCTTACCATGATAAGTAAGCAGCAAAAGTACCTTTTCAAGACCTTAGAAAGAAGTAAGGGTTTGTGCTATATGCTCCTTCTTATAATCCTTCTGATTGATAATTTACTTATCATGTTTTATGTTTCATAATATGGTATAATACAAATCTGAGCTGACTGCAATAGCTGTCTTTTATGAGCTCATCTCAGATCTGTCAGCTGCTTTTAGGGATGGGAGTTTTTGCAAGCAGTAACAGCATTTTTTAGGAGGAGAGAGCTGCTGCTGATTGCCAAGCTTGTATGTCTGTAAAAAGTAACAGTAAGAGATGTAGTTAGCTATACCTGGTTAAAAACTTGTGTTTACTTGTGTCAGGCTGGTAGCAGAGACAGGAATGGAAAAGATGGAGTGATGTTTTATGCCCTAGTAAAAACAATTCCATCTTTACCTTCTCCTGAGCAGATATTTCACACAGAAGATGTAAATGCCCCTTATAATAAGATACTAGTAATTCCATTATTAATTCATATACCTATTTTAGAATCAGGAAGATTAGAGATGGGCATAGTTGAGACCAGGCCCTCTCACTCCAGTGAGTAGGCTTTTCCTTTATATTAAACAGGTACAGCAGTTCTCCGAAAGGCATGAAGCTCCAGCTTGAATATAGTATCAGTCACCTGCTGATAGCCTCATTTCCAAATTCTGCAGCTCTGCTGCTCTGACTTTCTGTCTCGGTTTGCTTTTTGCCTGGAAATATATTGTTTTAGTATGCACAGTTATGTTATTTTGTCATTCAGCTTGTCTGACGTTAGCTTAATATAAGGAAGTAAAGTTACCCTGCTTTGTGACTCTGGTACCCACAAGCTCGTGGCATAGCTGAGTTCATGGATAGCCCCCATGTTCATCAGTTTCCAAATATGCTTATGGTTGCACAGGTTTTCATCTTTGCTTGTCAATTTGTATGTGGCTACAAAAGAAATGATCACAAGTAACTTCATAGCCAGAGGAAAACAATTGTTTGTATCTTCTCAGTTAAAGATTTTTTTTTTTTTTTTCCAACCCTGTAAGAGACTCTGGTCTATGAGGTGTGAAAAATGTTCGGATCAGCTATCTGCTAACTCTCCTGACCTGGTTCATACAGTCTGGATTTTTAATTTCATTCTGAAGAACTGCTTCCCTAGCCATTCTCTTTGGCTTTTTTTTTCTTTTTCTTTTTTTTAATATAGTATTCAGCTCATTTCTGATGATTACCACTGCCCTGTGACCCAAATATGAAAGGCATTTTTGGGGCTGCACTAAGAGTGAGCCTCTAAGGAAGGGGGAGAGGGGTAGGGTCCTAAATAGGTGTGAGAAGAAATAACTCTTAGAACACCTATGAGGTCATCCCTGGGGACAGTAGAAGAAAACCAGTGGGGAAAATGGTTGTGTTGGGCTGATGTGAAGGAAGAGGTGGAAGGTGGATATGAAGGGCTGCTTTTAGACACAAAGAGGTAGCACATCTCACTCTGCCCTTTTACACACTGCATTCTCCCTCTCACATCTTCATGAAGTTGTACGTGTATTGGTGACATTGATTTTTTTGGGATTTGTTGGTTGTTGAAGCTTCAGCAAGTTTGTCTAAGTCAGGTTGTGAATGGATCAGGATCAGGATTCTTTTTAAAAATCTAATACAAGACTTACCCTTAGCAGACTTTCTGATGTGCTGAGAACTGTTAGGAGTCTGAACATAATCTGTTAAAATATTACAAAGGTATTGCCAAGAGTTGAGAAATATGAAACAATAAAATATAAACCTTATAAAAAGCCTTCACCCATCAAAACTTTGCATCAGCTCTTGAGACACTGCTGTGCAAACGGCCTACAGATTAAATTAGGTTAGAAAATACACTCCAGTAACTTCATTTTTATAGTTAGAGCCTTTAAATTAGATGTTATGAGTATCTTAAATAAATAAAATCCAACTACTTCTTCCCTCCAGTAAGTAAATAGAGTGGAATACAACTAGAGACATACAAATGGATTTAAATTTTGGGGCATTTTATTCAGTAGCTTTTGTAATATGGCATGTGCCAAGGCTGTAGAAACTAAGACAAGAGTGTTAATATGTTTTCTCAGTGTGAAATTAGTTACTTGTGGTATAACATTACAGTCATCTAATTAATCACTGTTCTCAATCTCATGTTTCAAATGTGAAATTAAATCAGATTTCAGTGTTCAGTGCTCTGAATGCCAAACCAATGCTGTTTATTCTCTCCTTTCTGAGTAATAATTCACTAATTGGTTTAAGAGTACAGCTAGAATAAAGTTAGATTTTGTCCAGTAAATGTTTTTAGGATGAGAAAAAAGTAATTCTAATGTTACATATGTTACTTGTTGTCATCTTGTTATTTATTTATTTTTTTTAGATTGGCCAGTCTGAAGTTTACCTTATCAGTCCTGACACAAAAAAAGTAGCAATTGAGAAAAGCTTTAAAGAAATATCATTTTGTTCTCAGGTAAGATTGGGTGTGTTTTCTTTCTTTAAAAGTAAACAAATAATAAATAAATAATAAATGTGTATATATATATTCTCCACTTATGAATCCTTATGTATTTCCCTCCTAGCTTTTCAAATGGATTCTCACCCACATGATTTCAGTAATTACTGTTTACAAGTTGCTGGTTAATCAGTAATTCTGTCAGACTGTCATTCTTTCCTTGTTTTTTGCATTGTAATTTCTGACATAAAGGCTCACTTCCCTCTCTGGTGGATGAATAATACAAGTTTGAAGAAACAACTTGGTAATTTCTGGCTGCAATTTCAGCAGGCATTATTGAGAGTTGTGCAAATCTGTGATTTTCCGAGTTGTATCACTGTATTTTTCAAGGAGTCATTATGAGGGGACAAACAATTTGTAAGAGTTTTCTGTAACAATACCTCTAAATGTAATTTATGCTCTTGAAAATTAAATGTGAGTAAAAGACAACAGTCTGCAGCGCAGAGGTAATGTGTGTAATGCAGTGAGAGAGGATATTTCAGAGCCTCCTTGTTCACTGGCTTTCTTACGCTATTTTGTACTTGCTTACTTGCGTAGCGACATTCTACTCAGTGTCTTACAGTCTAAATGATAGTGGAATCTTGCTAGAAGGTTTGCAATAGGTTTATGTACCCATTTTTAAATATTAGGGCTATTATTTGCTATAATTGTAGCTTATTTGTTTTGTGATATGGTTGTTTTGTTTTTATTTTTTAATAAACTGATGAGGAAAGCTTTCGTCGTTAAATATACATGTACCTATTCTAAAAGTTTCAGAGTAAATTCACTAGTTTGCATTATGTCAAATCAGGAGCTTTGAGGAAAATCCCTCATTCACAGAAAAAAACAATCATTATCCCCATGTTCCCGGTGGCCCTTTCCCTAGGCAGCAGCTAGTGAGACAGACTTCATGTCATGCCCTGCAGGCCAGCAGACTGTCATGCCTTTCAGGACAGTAGGAGGCAAGTCTGATTGAGTCTGTCCTCCTGTCTAAAGCATGTGTGGTTGGGCAGATTTTGTGTCAGCTCAATGAGTGTTGATCCTGAGCTGCAGACCCAAGGGCTTTTACCTCAAGAATGCAAATTTCAGAAGACTAACCAGAACTATCTTACGTATTTATCTTGATAATATGACCTTCTTAATTAAACTTTTCTTGGAGGCAGTGGAGATAAATTATAGGGGAAATCAGAACCAGCGCTTAATTTCCAGAATACCCACCTCACCAGCAAGATACTGGAAATAATGGGAAGAAGTATGTGACCCTGGGGCAGTGTCAGAGATTGCTGATCTGAAACAGCTCAGAGCAATTGCTTGCTGTTGGTTCCTTGTAGTTCTGTGTGCAGGGCTATGATCCCAGGTGGTCTTCCTCCACTGCAGTGATTGGGCTTTCAGGAGAAGAACCATGGGCAGGGGTGTTAAAGAAAAGTCACAGAAATTTGTATCAGCCCTTTCATGCATTATATAACTACCCCCTAAAGTGCTTTAGCTTCGGCATCCAGTGGAGCTAGAGCTGGAGAAGCTGAGGACTTGGTATTATTTTGGTGTCCTGATCTGCTTTTTCTGGTGGTATATCAGTACCTGATGTTTGTGTGATAAAGTCTTTCTTGTCTGTGTGTAAATATCACACTCTGGGAAACTGGGTATTTATATGTGTTGTTTTCCTTTATTCAGCTGTCATGCTTTGAGGGTTTATTGTTAGTATTTTGGATGATAAAGCATTTGAGTTGCTGCAGAGTGTTTGATGCTACTATGCATTCTTTTTGGGCTACCTGCCCCTTCTGTTTTATAGAAATATTCTGTTTCAGTGTTGCTTTTTAAGAAATATTTTCTTTGTGTTAAAACGAGGAAGAGAATATTCAGAAATTCCTGCTGAGTTAAGAGGGAAAAGAAGAGGGAAAAAAATGTCATGCTAGCTGTCTTCAGATTACTTAACATTACTTAACACTGAAATTTCTTATTTTATGAAATTTCTGATCTGAGTTGTTATTGTGACTTTTTGATCTAACAGCTTGCTTCATTTTAATATGGTTGTACTATGCTAGCTAGAAGGTAACAAAAGGATACTGAGTGTAACTGAATCTGTATAAGTTCTACCACTCTGTATGGCATTCATCATAAGGTTTAACCACAAATTGTGCACTGAGGAGACATGCGTGGGTATGACCTGATCCTACTCATCTGCAAGTCATTTCCTGAAAGAAAAAATTCCAGCAATTGAATATCTTCCTTAGCATTTCACAGGGAGGTACTGCTTATCTACTGTTCAAGTAGATTATACCTGATGTTGCGTGCCTTTTAGGAGCAATAATACTTCCGTGATTCATCTTTAATATATTAAACCATTTTCATTTTTAAATAGCCAAGCTTTTAGATTTAATATACATCGTGTATCGATTTTTTTCACTGATGCTTTGTTTGCTCTTACAAATCTATAACAACTGAGTCTACTTAAGAAAAAGGGGAAAAGAGCCTTCCTCCACTGCTGTCTCCAACGTTAAGTAAAATATGTATTGAGTAGTATTCCTTTATCCTTGTGAGTGTTTTCCAGTGGATCTATAATCAGTCCCATTTACAATAAAAAAAGCATCTTACAAATGAAATTTAAAACAATCAGGAAGGTTCTGTAACAGAGGAGAATTTTAATGACCTTATGACTTTAATGTAGCCGTAACATAGATGCACAATGTCTCTGCTATCCTGTTGACCTTCTGTGCTTTTTTTAGTAGGAAAAATAACAGATACAAAACTTCACATAAATGGAACTACTTTATTCCTGTTGTTCTTGTGGCAGGGAATTAGACATGTGGATCACTTCGGATTCATCTGCAGAGAGTCTTCAGAAAATGGAGGCTTCCACTTTGTTTGCTACGTGTTTCAGTGTACAGATGAAGCACTGGTAAGTGAAAGAAAAGAGAGACCAATTATTATTTTGTGTTCTGTATCTTGCTGAATATCTTCTACCCTCGAACTATGCTACTGTGCTATGGGTCAGTCAAGTGCCACACAAATGCAGTAGGCTCAAGTTTTTCGTGGGTTTTTTTCCTTTTAATCCTATACAAGAAAATATTCCCCGATAGAAGCAGTGTCTGTTAGTATACCACAAAAATAAAAATGGTTAGCCTGGAAGAAATGACTTCATAGTAAGTTTTTTTGTGCTTATGAGTTCCTGTGCTGTTTCTGCACACAAACAACTCCCCTTTGCTTAACATACACACCTTCCCAAACAGCAGTGTCATTCTGAATGATGGTTGTGTTTTTGTTAGGGAAAAGAAAAGCTCTGTGGAGAAGTGAAATTGTTCTTTTGCACTCTGTTCTTTTTAGGTTGATGAAATCATGATGACATTGAAACAGGCTTTCACTGTAGCTGCTGTGCAACAAACTTCCAAGGCACAGCCGCAGCTCTGCGAAACATGTCCTCTGCAAAGCTTGCATAAACTCTGTGAAAAGATAGAAGGTGGGGTTTTAAGAATTTTATGGTCAATTTTTTTTTCTAACAGTTTTATTGGTGGACTATCTTATGTGTGAAACTGTAGGGAAGTGAATGCTTAAATAGAGCTTAAGATGTGGGGAAGAAAAATGGAGCGCTAGTCTCTCTTAGAGTACTATTGTATAAAATTATCTGTAACCTAATAAGAATTTTCAAACAATCTAAGCTCTCATCTTGTATTTCAGTTGTTTTTTGAAAACAAATTAAATGTGTCTGTTTAAATGTGTCTGAATTGCAAATAGCCTAGCACAGTTAGCCATACGAATACAGCAAATTGCAGATAAGAAAGTTCTCAAGAATACATACTGCAATAACTTGCTGTCCTGTTGAATCTGATTAGGTAATGGCATTACAGAGCTACTAAATGTGAATCATTGAGTTTTCAATATACTTGTTTGTGTCAGTGCTCCTTCTTGAAAATGGAGCAATTATAGCCTAGAAAACAAGCTTAAGACAAAAGAACAAAACAATTATTTGCATTTCAGCAAATTTCACCATTAGGCTTCATTCATTTAAGTGATTTCTGGGGTGATTAGATGGCAACAGTAGCTTACCAGATCACAGAACTAGCTTGTTGGACCAAAAACTATCCAGTATTAATTTTGATGAAATTGGAGAACCTCCAAAACCACTTCCAACTCTGCTTTGGCCTTCAGCTAGCAATCAGTTTTTGGGAAAATTTTTCAGTGCAAAAGAACCTATCTTTAATCATATCATCTGCTTCTGAAGGAGAAATGCCATGATCAGAAACTGAAGTACAAAATACTGTGGATGTTTTGCTATTCTCCCACAGAAAATAAAAGGAAGAAGTTTAATCTAGGGTGAGAGCAGGAAAAAGATAATTTGAATGGGAAAGTAGTTACCTTTAGGCTGTCAGTAAATATTCTCAACAAGAAACAAATAATTTCTTTGCTAATATGCAGTAAGTTCGCTCTTTTTCAAAAGTGTCTTAAGGCTTACAAATCGGAGAAAGCTAATAGAAAATATACTGCAACTGAAGTCCGGGCAGCTCCTGAATAAAAACACCAGCAAAAATTCATGAAAGTGTTTTAGTTGTGGGTTAATTTTGTTTTCTGTGGTGATGGAATCTTCTACAGCAGCTAAGAGTATATTCGTGGTCTGTGCTCAGTAAATCTCCTTGTTGTAAAGAGTTCGTGTCCCTCATTTTAAAGACGACTTCAGTAGTAGCTTTAAATTAACCTACCGTTCTTTCTCATGTCCAGTTATGAAATGGTTGCAAAAGGTCAGCTCAAAAAATTGGTACTGATGAGCTTTAGCTTTCATTTTATACGTATTTCGGCAACTGTTTATTTCTGACAATTGTGTTCCTCTTATTAGGGCTACACCCTTCTAAGACTAAACTAGAACTACAAAAACATCTAACAACACTGAATAGCCAGGAGCAGGCTTCTGTTTTTGAAGAGGTTAAGGTAAGATTTAGTGTAAAGAACCAAAATGATTCTAATTTTTTTGTGAGCTATTCAGTGGATTTATATCATAGACTATTAATCACCTCGTGCTTTATTTTCTGCATCATTATTTTTTATGTTTTTTTATATTGAAATTTGCTTATTTTTCTTCTTTTTATTCTTCTGATGTGTTAACTTCTTGCAAGGAAAGCTGCATATACTTTTTTTGTGGGTCGAGGCAGGAACCTGTACTTTGAGAATCCTCAACTTTGAGAATGACCAAAACAAATTACTGTAACATTCCCAGATCAGAAAATGTCCTGCATAAAAGTTAACCAAGCTCTTAATGCTCATTGAACTAACTAAAAAAAAGTTAAATTTTCTATCTTTTAAATAAAATTCAAGTTAGCATGGGGGAAAGCATAGCTGGATTTAAGATGGATAATGAACATTAAAGGCAATGTCATTGGGCTTGTCACATTAGATTAGGAAACTGCAAACTTGTTTTTTTAATACTGTTCCCTTCCTGTTTTGAGTCATTCCAGTCTCTGTCTTCGTCTGTTTCCATTTGACAATTTATCATCCAGTACCAAATTTGGAAGTTGCTCTATGGAGTGACTCAGTTTGTTTGTATATAGCAGCTAGCAGGCACTGTTTTAAGGACCTTGTTAATGCTTATTGTAAGAAGCATTGCAAGCAATGAACTTGGTTAAACCAATGGTAAAATATATCTCCCTGCATATGTTTTTCTGTTGTTCTTTTGAGTTGGAGCAACTGAAATTTTATTTACTGTGTTCATAGAGCTTCATATGTTGTAACCAGGATATGCATTTTTAAATAGTTGTCTTTCTCAGGTTGTTATTTATTGAGCTAATGCCAGGAGAGCATCTTAGATTCTCTATACTGCATCTTTTGCATTACCTCGGTAGGCTTTAAACCTAACTTTGGAAAAGCGTGTTTTATATGGTTAAATCCCATAATCGTTTTTACTGTTTTTTTTAATGTGTTATTTTATATGTAGAGTGCAGCAGAGATAGATATGCTCACCTTGTACAGCCCTGCACGCTAATTTTTAAGACACCTGTCATTTTCCAAAAATGAAATTTCTAGTGACAAAGATACTAGAAGCATCGTGCGTAACAGCAAGACATACTTCATGTATGCTCAGGACTGCATTTTATTTTTTTGTAGACAAGAATGTACTCTGAAGTTGTTATTTCCATGTTTCACAGTTTTATAATTGGCCTTTAGTTTTCACACAAAATCTGTCATTGTGGTAGTGTGATTGAAGTGTTCTTCTGGCTGTGTTGCTGCTTTTCTTGGGACACTGCTGTCCTCTGGTGGACTGAGACGGTAGCACTATTTTAAACTTGTAGTTATGCACTGACAGTGAGAAAATGAAAAAGATGAGATGTTTGCTGATCGTTTTATGAATGTGTATGACTGTGCTTGTGGTGTTTTTAATTAAAGAAATTGAGACCAAGAAATGATCAAAAAGAGAATGAGCTGATTATCTCTATTTTGAGAAACATGTATGAAGAAAAACAGAAGGACCATGTTCACGTTGGGGAAACAAAACAAGTAAGTAACCGTTCAGTTTTAGTTCATGTAAGAAAAAGCCAGGAAAAATCATTCATTCCATACTTACGTCTTTCCTAAAGCAAACTTCCATCACTGGTATTTTGGTACTTCAAACTGTTGGCAGTATTGAACACTGGTTTTCCTTACGGCTAGTGTCACATGCCAAAATTAGGCATAGATTGCATGTTTTGAGTTGTCCAGTAGAGTTTGGTTCCAGACCTTGGATAAAGAGATGCAAGCTTGGTAGGCCAATAATTTGATTTTTTCTTTCTTCTCACTGTAATGACAGTTCTGTCAGAGAATATATAAGCAATCTGTAATTGTTCTCACCTGAACTGTGGCTTTTGTCACCTCCTTGATTGTGTGAGCCAGTGCCCCCAACAACACACTGGGCTTGATCCTTGCTAAAAATGGTTATGTTGACTCAATAGCTGAAAGTTATTTCTTGTGTGTAAATTACCATTTGAAATGACCTCAAGGAGGAAAAGCTGAGAGGCGATGCTGTTGAATCTTTTATGAAGTAAGGTTGAGGAACTGGGCTTGTTTAGCTTACAGAAGAGAATGCTTCAGGGGGACCTCAATGTGACCTTCCAATACTTGAAGGAAGCATATAAACAGGAGTGGGGAATGACTGTTTACTAGGGTGGATAGGGATAGGACAAGGGGGAATGGTTTTGAACTGAGACAGAGGGGGTTTAGGCTGGGTATTAGGAGGAAGTTTTTCACACAGAGGGTGGTGACACACTGGAACAGGTTGCCCAAGGAGGTTGTGGATGCCCCATCCCTGGAGGCATTCAAGACCAGGCTGAATGTGGCTCTGGGCAGCTTGGTCTAGTGGTTGGCAATCCTGCACACAGCAGGGGGTTGGAACCAGATGATCTTTATGGTCCTTTTCAACCCAGGCCATTCTGTGAATCAACAGGAGAGATCACAGAGTTGCAGAGGTTGGAAGAGAGCTTTAGAGATCAAGTCCAACCCTTCCTGTTAAAGCATTGCCATCTATTTTCAAAGAACTAAGCTACTTTATGTTCTGTATCAGGTCATATCAGTGCCATTAAAATAGCTGTATTTATACAACATTGTTAAGTTTTTTGAAAAAATGATTAACGATTTTGGATGCCTTGTTCTGTGCCTCGCTTGAAATGCCTCAAGGAGATCTGTATTTCAAAAGACAATTGGCACCCATTCTCTGAAAACTTTCAGTTCTGATTATTAGACCCTGTGCAAAATGTTGGCTGACTGCCACCGCTTCTGACTGTTGTGACAGCTATGGGCCATTGTGATACAAACTAGTAAACTAAAACATGGGGAATAATTAGACCCCTGATGAAATTGGGGAAGTAGCAACAAGTCTTCATTTACTATTCATTTTTTTTTGTTAATCTCTTCTTATTTTATGGTTTACTAGTTACTTACTGACCACTTGGAGAAAGCAGAAAGAACACTTCATATTTAGTTTTCTGCTTTTTTGGCTTGGACTTCTCAGTGGAAATATATTTTTGAGGAGAAAAAAAAAACAAAAAAAAAACCCAAAACTAACACAATGCTATAGTTTAGGCATGACAGGAAGCAACACTGCATGGTGTTCTTAATCATCATATCTGAAGTATCCATACTTGAAATAACACATACTATTAAATAGTTGTCAGTTATGAATGGTTTGGAAGTAGAGATATAAAATGCAAGATAATATCTTAATATATATTCAGTGTTTTTTGAAAATTCCTAAGGCCTTCTGCAGTTCGTTTGCTCAGCTCCTGAAGCCAAAAGTGGTTACTCTGACACTTGCGAAGATGCCAAGGCTCTAAGAACAGAGTTGACTTGCCCTCAGTACCTCATTACTCCACTAATTTATCTCCAGAGTTGTGTGACAGCAGATACCTTTGAACATGTATTCTGGCAATGATACTTGTCTCAGCAGTCATTAACCCATGACTTGCTGGTGTCCCTGTTTCCTTCTTCTCTGCATAGCTATTCACTTTCATACTTCTCCTTCCACTGTATGTTGGTGGGGTTTGTTTTTTTCCTCTCCTGATTCAAATACAAATGGTGTAAACAAGTGATACTGGCACATGGATCTTTCTGAACAAAAATGACCTTCAAAATAAACATTTTTTTGTACAAATATAATAGCAGGCAGCACCTAACTAGCCCTCTGAGCTTGAGATGAGTAAAAAGAAAAAGAAAATGCTAAGTCAAATTCTGTAGCACTGCAAGTAGGGAGCTTTAAAATTGTATGTAGACAGAACTATTTAGTGATGCAAGTGCCTCAGAGCTGTTCAGTTAGTTGTACGTGTTCTGATAGTTACACAGATTGAGCATTCAGATCTCTGAAGTTAAGACCAGGTAGAGAAGGCTACAGTGCATGACAGCCTCTAATGAGGATGAACCCCAAAAGTAACAGTGAAAATTGTGCTGCAGGCATTAGGCTTAGATGCTAGTATTTTCACTGTAATGTAACTTTTAAAATTTGCTACTCTAGTCCTCACAAGCGCTGGAAAGGGACTTAAATGTTTCTTTAAAAATCAAAAATCTGAGTAGACAGTTAGCTTTACAATTGAAGGGTTCCTACTATTGAAATTATGTAGAAGAATTAGATTATTACACATCTTCGTGGCACTTAGAGTGTCTGATATTTATATGATGAAGATACTTCTTGTTAAGCGTATCTTGGCTGAAGAAAAGTAATTATTTGAGATATCTCCAATCTGTTATACTTGAACTTTGGAACTTACACAACTGTGTTTTGGTATTAAAGAAAATCTGTCAACACAGCTATAAATTCTCACTGAAATGGCAACTCTTCTGAAGAATGTTACTACACTCCAAAAATGTAATTTGAAGAAATTTTCTAGGATCGTTTGGTAAGCTTCAATGTAAATATCAGTAGAGGAAAAGGTATGAAAAACCCAAAACACTAGGAAGAAAGAATTGATGCATGTTACAGGAGTCTTCATATTTTTCACTGAGATACTGCTCCACACTGGTTTGCATTTCACATTTATGTTTTTTAAACACTTACAGACTTCACAACCATCTGCTGAAAATGCTGTAAATGAAGTGCCCAGCAGTGCTCCAAGATTCAGATTAGATATGTTAAAGAACAAGGCAAAAAGATCTCTGACAGAATCGTTTGAAAGTATCTTATCACGTGTAAGTATCCTCGTGTTTATTGCCTCTGAGCATATTTTTGGTGTTTTATTTATTCAAATAGTGGATACACCACATTTGCTATCCTTTTGGGTTGTAGCTAAGTGGCTATTAAAGATAGAGTGCAAAAAATACATGAGTACGTATTAGAAGATACCAAAACAAAGCAGGGCTTTAGTAAGGCAAATAGGAAGTCCTGAAAGAAGTGAACTAATTCCTAGATTTAAATAGTGCATATAGGCATTTCAAAACCTGAATGTGAAGCTGAGCGTGGGAACGTAGGAAAGTTGCTGTTGTTTTATTTTTTTTGGATTTAGAAAATAAAAGTAATTACAAATGTTCACTTTTAATTATGTACAAGGAAATTAATAGGGAACTGAGTAAGCATATCTAACAAGACAGTGTTTATTAATAATGACAGAACTGATGAATACTGAGGCTTCTGAACTTTTAAATGCTAGTGTCCTGGTTTTGACTGGGATAGCATTAATTTTCTTCACAGTGACTGGTTTAGTGAGTGTTTTGGATTTGAGAGGAAAACAGTGGTGATAATGCACTGATGTTTTAGTTGTTGCTGAGCTGTGCTTACAGTAGGTCAGGGGTGCGTCAGCTTCTTGCATTGCTCTGTCGTAAGAGGCTGGGGCTGTACACAGAGCTGAGAGGCAACAGAATCAGGATAGCTGACCAGTACTGGCCAAAGGGACATTCAGTACCACATGGCATCGTGCTGAGCAGTAGAACTGGGGGAGTTGGCCAGGAGGCTGCTGTTGACTGGGGCCTGACTGGACGTTGGTTGGTAGGTGGCACACTGATTGAATGGTGCGTCACTTGTATTGTGTATTCTTTTATTTATGTTATAATTATTTTCCCTTCATTTTCTATGCTATTAAATTGTCTTTATTTCAACCTACAAAGTTTTACTTTTTCCCCAGTTGTCTGCTCCATCTTACTGTGGGGGAGTGAGCAAATGGCTGTGTGGTGCTCAGCTGCCTACTGTGTTAAACCACAACAGCCAGAGACTATTTGAAGGCAAGAAATGTTAAGAACTTCAGAAGGCACTAAGAATATGCAGGCATTTGGGCAATATCATAGGTAAAATTCTTCATAAACAGTGTTGGCAGTACCTCTTAGTGGGAACAATTTGAACTCCCATGTAATAGTCATCCCCAAGAAACAGATCATGAGCAAATGGTTTGAAATATCTGCTAATTACAGAACAGTGGCTAAGAAAACAGATCTGATGCCAGATTTAAGTACTGCTTCAGCTTACGAAGTGACTTCTCATTTAAATATTGTTTGTTCTATGTATCCTTTCAAAGCAGATACAGTGCAAAGTAGTGCTTTAATAGTGCTTATAGTATGTATGTGCAATATGTGATAATATTCACATGTAATGCATGTAGTTGCTTATGAGAATTCCCTAACTGAATAGGTGTCATTGAAAATGTCAGTAATTGTTCTGAATGAAGCCTCTGTCTTTCACAGAGGCAAAGACTATTACTAGGAATTCGGGAAAATTTGCTATTGTCTTTGAAAGCTACAGGTTCTGTATGTGCTCTGAAAATCTCTTTTTGGTATGCCCCATTTCCTGGTACGACCCTAGTGTTATTAAGCTTAATTGTTGGTGTGCTTTGTTTCTACAGGGCAGTAAATCTAGAGGTCCTCTGGACAGTTCTAGTGGATCTGTGGATCTGGAGGCCTCTGTGTCTGGTACCTTAAGCAGCACAAATAAAGTGAGTAAAGCCTGCGGTGCATATATGTAGTGAGAAACTTCTGTTAATATACCTAAAACAACTAGTCAGATGTGAAAGCCAGTTACCAACTGATCATATAACTGCTCTGTTCTAACATCTTGCATTTTGTTTTGGTTATGTTTGGTAAGTAGACAACCGAATTGTGTGTGAAAGGAAATAAACCTCAGAACATCCAATCAGAATGATAAAAGCAGAATCAACTAGTAGAGTCTAGACCCTCTTTTTCCTAACTGTAAGAGTCCTGCTGCTGCTTGCTGATCCATTAGGGTATGTTTTTATTCCTGTGTTGAGTTCCTCTTAGGTTGATGGGGATGTGCTCACTGCTGATAGCCCCTTGGATCAACCACTGTCTTCCCTTCTACTTTCCAGTTGAAACAAATGCTTCTGTTTTTTAGGATTTGTAAGTTGATTACCCAAATCACTTTCCATGTTTAAAATATGTTTAAATTCTCTGAGGAATAACTTGAACAAACTAATTTCCCAGCTTACTCTGGTAACAGAAATTCAGATTAAGAAATAACAGTCAGATGCCAGCACAGTGGTAATGTGTACGGTGCCATTGTCTATGGAGTTTCACTAAATTCTGTACTGTTGAACAAGGTGGGGCCCATAGTTAGTATGTATTTCTGATCTACAGAAATTTCAAGCTTTAGGTCCTTGTGTTCCTTGTATTTTAAGAAATAACAGTGTGATTGGGGTTCCGTTTGAATTGGAAGCTTACTGTGCTATGTATATTATATATTTTGTATGTATGGATCTCATGCAAATATATATATGTGAACTAAAATGTTATATAACATCGGAGTATTGCAAAAATGTGCAGCAAAACAAATTAGATAAGTACCGTGTTCCTGACCCTCAGCCCTGCAAGTACCTACCATAAATTCCCATTCTTACAGAATATAAAACTAAACCAAGAAGTGGAATGATTTCCCTTTTTGTATGGCTAGAAAACTTTTGATCTCCGGGCAAAATGTTATGAACAAATAGCAAAGAGGAAAGACAGTCATTTTCCTTGGACGCAGCAGGTTTGGGCACAGCTATCCATTGTGCTCTAGTGCCTGGTCAGCTATGGAGGACTCCTGATGGGAGATATTCAGAAGTCTTCTCCTTCTGCTTGTGATTTTGAAAGAATGGCTGACTTTGCAAGAAACAAGTGAGATGGGGAACAAAGAAAAATGCATCATTTTGGACTAAAACAAGGCATTTAGTCATAGGATTAAAGTTTTTTGTGTGAGACTTCTAATAGGCAAAAAGAATCTTAGTGTTACTCAATGAAATGCTAGATATACAGTAATCTGAAATACTGCCTTTTTCATTGCTGTTACTGTTATCCAAGCCTAACTATGTTCATTTCCAAGTTGTGTTCAGCATACAGTAAAATTATTTTTTCTAGCTAGCAAAATTATTTTTTCTGTGTAAAATGGAGACTGACTTGTTGACCTAAATGATGAAGAACAAAACCAAAAAATATCCAAGATTCTTTCTTTGGGATATCATGATAAAAAATATGCAAACTTGAAGCAGATCTCTGAGGGGGTTTATAATGACATGGAACTGCAACTCCAAAAGCTGTTTTTAAAACCACATGTTGATAACCTTCTCTTTTGTTCTTCTAGGAACCACCATTGTCTGAAAGGGAGACAGACAGAGTTCCTACGCTTCCACCAGAGAATGCTGTCAAGGCCAGTGGATCAGTGGGTGATCTCTCCAGTGACCCAGATAGTTATGCTCTTGATCATTCTGTTACATTACCTCAACAAAGCTTTCGAAGGCGAGCAAACACTCTGAGTCATTTACCATCAGAAAGCCGGGAGTCTCTGGTACCTGTTGAAACCTCGCCATCTGTTCCCCAGAGGAAACTTATGAGGTATCACTCAGTGAGCACAGAAACACCTCACAAGAGAAAGTAAGACTTACTAAGAGCAGGCTCTGCTTTCATTTGTTGAGGGCATGTTTGGGATGGTGATTATGTACCAGATTTATCCTCCTAGTGGATAAGAAATGTATCACAGCAGTATATCACTTAGGTGGCTTTTAGGTACCTTGTTTGAAACACTGATTTTCCACAGGGGGAAATGAAAGCTGAGATGTGCATCTCCACACTTTGTGTCACAAAGCTAAGTGTAAGGACAGTATAGAATTGCTCCTAAGATGTTAGATTATGTTTTTATAAGCAATGTTTAGTAACTTCTGTTGTTGATCTGCTAAATGCTACGTTTTCCTTGTCTGTCTATAGAGAAAAATACTGTAGCATTTCTGATGCTACAGATCTTGCTGTTTGGTGAATTCATGTATAGTTTTACAGTAACACATGAACTTGACATAAATTGACATAACTGTTGATAGATGTGAAGCTCCTATGCAGCATTTCAATGAGCCTATGTAAATTTTACTTGCAAAAACAAGCTACTGGCTGCCTTAATGCTAGTATTCTTCAAGCTGTCCTGCTTCATAAGCCTGCCTCTGCATTTTCAAAGTCTTTGAACATTATGGCAGCTTTCTTTCCTCCCTCTATCTGGCTTTTTCCAATTACTATGGAAACGCTTCTGTCTGTAGGCTTCTGTTTCACTGCCAAAACTGCTCGTTTACACAAGTCAGGCAGTACAAAATCTGTATGTGTTCCAACTCATTTTTCCCTGCAGGAGGCAGGGCAGCATAAGAACGTGCCTGGAATAGGTGATGACAGCAAAGAAAAATTAAATTATACCATTTAAAAGGAAATACAACCTAAGTTGCCTTTCCATCCCTTTTTTGAACCTTTTTAATTCTTAAATACCAGAAAGTGTTTGTGGTGCAGTTTAGAACTTGTGCTGTTGGTCTGTCGCCTTCATGAAAGTTGCCCTTGCATTTGTTGCTGCTTGTTCAGACAGTTTCTATCCTTAATGTATGGGAATGCAGTTAAAAATTAAATGTATTTTTAATTTCCTTGGTTATTGCTATTAGGGCTTGATTGTATAATTTTTTTTACAAAGGCCCAAGTGTGCCTGCTCCTTCACCTAATTTAACCTAGAAAGAAATCACTGGTTACCTACCTTTCCTGGGGAACACACAGAACTGGACTTAGAAGAGGTGTACATTGAACAAGTCTTGTGTGTTTTATGAGTGTTTTTTTAATGGCTTACACCAGTAGATAAGTTATTTTTAAACTCAACATTGTTGATTGGGTTAAAATGCTCAGCCTCTTGCAGTTACAGCATCAACTGTGAAAAATGTATGAAATGGCTGATTTGTATTTGATGGGTTACTTTCAAGGATTAGAGAAGATATTTCACTTTTTTTTCTTCCCTGTTTCCTCTCTCTTACTGTGTTTTGTTCTTTCTGTTACCTCAACTCCATTCCTCTGGTTGGAATCCCACCATACGGTTTGAACACATCTGTCGGCGAACCTAAAAGTTCTTCTGGTCAACTTGCACGTTCTCCTACTCTAGCTCGTCTTAATCCCTCGGCTTCTTCACCCAACTTTTTTAAATATCTAAGGCATAATTCAAGTGGAGAACAAAGTGGGCATTTTGCACAGAAGAGGTGAGATAGCACCTGTAGTTTGGGATAGGGTTTGTTTTACCGTGCTTTACCGTGTTTTACCGAAGCTCTGTAGTGTAAGTAATTAAAGTTATTTAATAAAAATTTAAGGTGGTAGAGTTTTGTGGGAGGAGGAACTCAGCTGCTTTGCTAGTGGATGTAGCTCTGATACTTGCATAATTTTTTGTTTTAATACAGAAAATTCTTTCAGACACGTGGCATTCTTTGGAGCCGATTGCTCCGAAGCAGCTTCTTGTTATGCAGCAGACAGCAGCCCTAAATTGTGCCAATGATAAGATGCCAAGAACCTGAGATCCAGCTTACTCTGTCTCTCCTGAATCATCCAGTTCTGTTTTGCTTTGTTCGTGGCAACACAGAAATACATTAATATTCTTGTAATATTCTTTTGTGCCTGACATCTAAAGGCAAATTAACTATGTTAACTAAATTGGACAAAAAATGGCTGGACTGTGAAAAACCAATTGAGGGGAAAGAAAAAGGCAGAAATGAGCTCATGTGTTTGTCTTGTTTAATTTGTCATGGTTACACTCAGTAGTATTAAATGATAATTTTCTGTGCTTTGTTTCTTACAACAAAAATGTGCATTGAGGAAAGCACATTAACTTTTCATTTCCCTGGGATCCTGAAATAAGGAGCTGCCTAAAAATCTTAACCATGCAACCCCTTCAAATTAAACCGCTTATTTTAGCTCAAAATGTTAATGAGGCTGAATGGCCTTGGAAGCACTGTCAGCACTTCTGGCAAGCAAGTCTTATTGCTGTTTGTTTTGGCATGGCTTTTTTGTTGTTGTTGTTTGTTTTTCTGGAAGGTATAGGTTTTCTCTTCTGAGGTGACAATTCTTCTGATCCAGGGAAAGTACTGAACCCAGAGCTTGATGTCACCAGTCTCGTCATTTGTATTTTTTGAGCACTATCTCGTGTCCCTCTTAATTTAGCTTCACCTCAGAAGTATGATATAATTCAAGGGAGGAAATGTGAGTCTTCAGTGTCACCCTTTACTCTGTGTTTATCCAGGCCAGAACACCATGCTAACTGTCCCTGACTTGAATGCTGAAGGTTAAATTATCCAAAGTAGATTCTTCTTCTGAAGTAAATTAGGAGGTAGATTTGTACATACAGCAGCACCTTCTCCTTCCCTTTCTCTGTTGTTAGTGAGTTAAACTTAACAACTCATGTTAATGTAATGAGTTTAAACTGAATGAAGTCAAACTGCCCAAGCTGACTGCATTTCTATGTGTGAAATCACCATGTAATTGCAATTGATTGACAGTGAGATTGTAAGTGAAACTTGTTCACAGGGTACACCACACTACAGCAGTATTTCCTCATGCTCAGTATCAGCTACTAAAGAACTGCTTCATTTTTTATCTTTGGGGCAAACTTAAATGCATCCATATTATGGTTTCTCACAAACTTTTCTCACTAAAATTCTGTTGGTCAAGAGTAAATTCTCCTACTCAAGTGTTTTTGTCAAGCCAAATGATTTTCTTCTGAGTTGTTCTCATGTCCTTCTATTAACCAGCTTCTTACGTACGCTGGGAGTTATTATTTTACAAGACAGAGCAGAACCAGGAGTTGTGTTGATCAGAAGACAGTTGAAGTTTGATTAGTGCTCCTGTCTGTTGCATAAGTAAAGCTGCAATCCTAAATAAATCATCAGTCAGAAAGCTCAGCTTTTTGTTTAAATGTTCCAAGCTTGTCTGAATAAAAGCCTGTTAATGCTTTTCAAAACACTCTTTGCCAAAGTCTTGGATTTCATTTGCTAGTACAAGGATTATCAGAGCCAGCTTTTCTTAACCTTTTCCTCCAACCTTAGGCAGTCATTGAAATTGATACTTAGATAATTTTTCAATTATAAAGTTGGTATTGGTTCTTACTAGGTTAAAGGAACTTACTTGAAATGTGCACCAAGAATCTTGTGATATAACAAAGAATAATGTTTACTGGAAGCATATTTATTTATGTTTGAACATTTTAGTTTGCCCAAACTATTTCAAAGTAGCGCTTTGTTAGTGGTTTTAGTTTTGACTTTGGTTTCCTTGATATTTATGCCTTCAGGATTTAGCTGCTGTCTGTTTGAAACTTAGCAGTATGTGTTATTTTTATTCTGTGGATTTATACTTCCTTGTTCTAAACTATACTTTTCCCAACTACACTCTCAGCATCTCCTACCGTACTGCCTTAAGGAAAAAGCTTCATTCTTCCTCTTCTGTGCCAAATTTCTTAAAATTTCTGGCTCCTGTAGATGAAAATAACACCTCAGACTTTAGGAGCACAACAAGGTAGGGTTTCTCTCTTTAACCCCGGAGGTAAAACTGTATTATTCAAAGGTTTCTTTGTTTGAAGTATTTGAAATGCTTCCCACACTTGCAAAATGTGACTTGTGCAACAGTTCACTTGCATGTATTCTGCATGTGATTACTGTGAAAAGGATGGAGCTATCCCAGACTCCTCTCTTGCAGTGTTTGCAGAGCTTATCTATTTTGAAGTTCTGATGGTCACGCAGCTTGCATCTCTTCACTTGTGATTATTCCCACAAAAGGACTCTATTAGCAGTTTCTGTGAAGAGAACATACGTGGTTCACCCTAAGCAATGTCAACTTCCTTAGGGTAGGAGGAGAAGATGGTCTGTAAAATGCTATTCTCAGTTGCCAGAGCTGTTTGAAGTTCATTTATTACCCTCAACTCAAACAAAGACTAATGTAATCACTTGGAAATGGGATTTTTAATAGGAAGACAGCATTGCTGTACATTTTTTCTTTTAATAATCTGAATGAAAACTTCAGCTGTGTAGTTCATTTATTCCATCAAAGGAGTAACAGCCAGAGTCCTGGGATGCTGTTCCCAGATCTGTTGCTTATTTCACACGGTGACTTGGGAACACAAAGATTAAAGTTTTTGCTCTAATTTTATGTTGTGGAGGAGTGTACTATGTATCTGACTCACAGAATGCTAGAAGTTTAATTAAGGTTTGTAAAACTCCTTAAGGATTGCTGATAAAAGGCACCAGCAGCACTCTGTCTCCTACAAATAACTGCTACTTATTGTGGATGGTATAATAATGAAGGCTGCAGAACAGTAATGATACTTCGATATACGCCATCATGTATCTTTAATGCAGTGAGTTTAATGCACTGCCACAAAGTAGAAAAAGAAATGAAACTATAGAAAGCAGGTTGCACAGAGCTGCGAACCCTTTCTGATGAACTTGAGTGATGTTTGCAGCCGTGTGTAAGCCTGCTGCTACTAAGCAATAACCCACCTAACAATTACAGCTTGACACAGCATGTGCACAGCACACTGCGCTTCTTAGCAGATGGTTCTTATTATGCTCACTGAACTCTACGTTGCTGTTCCTGGCAGATTTGAGTAACTTACTCACAAGCCATTCTGTGTTCTGCAATTTTAGTGACTACGAATCCAAACACAGCCAGCAGGCTGCTGGTGCTGACAGCCCTGTAAGGACTCGACGACATTCTTGGAGACAGCAGATATTCCTGCGAGTGGCCACTCCTCAGAAAGCATGTGATTCTCCCAGTCGGTATGATGGTAAGTCTGTACTGGATTCCGTGAATGTTGTTAGTGGGTATAATCTGTGGGTTGTGGTCCATTTTGTCTACTGTGTGGGCATGCTTGCCCAATGCTCTGTTTGTACTGGCTTTGTGGCTTTCCACTTCTGGGTTATGCTAAGCTCACCAGTTCTTGGAGTTTTTATTTTTCAACTTCATATGTAACTTAGTTCTGGTAGTGCAAAATTAATGGAAAATAAATTCTTTTTTAGATGTACTGTTTTAATGAGTTGGGAGGGAAATCACCAAGTATCACTTTCAAGAAAATGTGATCCTTCTATTTCATCTTGCCATGCTAAGTACGAAATCAAGGACCAGAAAAATCCAACCCAGAAGAAGAAATAAATTTCTTTCATGACTTCAGTTGAGTTCTATAGTGTTTACTTCATACCAGACTGGATTTGACCTCACATTGTGCTGCTTTATCCTGTAATTTCTTACCATGTTAGCAATGATTGTCCTCTGTACCTTACTTCTTTCTTGAAGATCTGTAGATGTAAAGAAACACAGACCAGGGAAAAATATCATTGCACGTGAGCATGCAGGTACATTTTACACATCTCACCTTATGTGAGCTTGGCACATGCCACACCACACACTGGGATCAAATGTGCCCCAGAGAACTTTTGGCTCCAGATAATGGTTTCTGACTCACTGGAACTTGAATTTCACTGCTGGAGTTCTGCAAGCTCTACTTCTGTCTGATCTCTATGGCCATAGCATAAGAGCCAGAAGGAACTGAAGGGAACAATACACTGTAATAAACGTAGTAATGAAATACTGTTTGAATAGGCTGGGAAAGCTGTCAGGTTAACAGTTATTGAAACGTTTTTATTGCATCTTAAAAAGAGACCTTGATGAACGGAACGCTGCAGATAACAAAAGTGTTTCTGTCATTAAAGAGTTGCTGGCAATGTATTTGGAATTAGAATGGCATAAGCTGTATACAGGCATAGATGCCTCCCTCAAGTGTAGGATACTTCAAAACTAAGTAATCTCAAGAGCCTGTCAACATAAATATACATGTGAAATGCTTTCCTATGCTTCAGGGTGCGGGAGGGGGATATTCAGCCTCAGCTGTTCTCTGAAGCTAATAGTTTTGCGAATTTGACACTTCTTTCTATAATTGAAAGTGGACTTACTAGTTTTTGAAAGCCACAAAACATTCCCTAATTAAATGGGGAAAAAAACAAACCCACCCCAAACCCAAAACTGCCTGTCCAGACATATCCTTTGAGACATAATAGTTGCAAGACACAATTTTAACAACCTACAGCTGGATAAGCAGCAAAGTTGGAAAAACATGTTTGGCAAAAAGGAAAACAGGAAGTGTTATTAATCTGGGGAGCAACTTAAAGTAACTGGTGTTTTTATTCACTCTTGTTTTCCTTATCTGTTTTTGTTCCAATGTACATATTCAGTTTATGAGCAGAGGGAGAAAACTCAGATTTAGCAAGTATTAGAGTTTTCTGTTTGGATTTTTGTGAATCTCTTGGAACGTTTTTGGCAGTGAAATTGCTGAGTGGTGATCAATTCTCTGTAGCCTTTAAGAGTGATCTTACTCACTATCACAGTTAACTTAGCAGCCTCTGTAGCTCCATAGAAAATATAACTAGCTATTTTTCATCACCTTGTTCCTTTTTCTTTAATCTTCTCTCAAGGAGAAGCAACATATAAAGCAGATTTGATCAGTTTGATAAGAGTTAACTGTAGTTGGTTTTGCATATTTTAAATTCTTTTTTTAAGGTTTCCTTGCTCAGTTTAGATTGATCTCCTTTGGTAACAGATTTGATGAAAACAGCTGACGTATGACCAAAAGATCAATTTCAGCCAAGGTCAATGGAGAACAGAGAGGTGCTTATGATAAACTTGAGAGGTGTCTAGCATCCTGAGTTCCCACATGAAGTTTGCTGCACCAAGTCCCACTCCAGACCCTTTCTTCTTAAGGAATTGTTCATTAATAGTTTGCTCAACTTTTCTCTCCTGTAGCTTAGCTGGAGGGAAATGCTTGTTAGCTGTGCTTGCATGGCTGCCTGTCTTGCACAAGGCAAAGAGCAAACTGTTTTCCAGGTCCATTTAAATGTACAACTTGCCTTATACTTGGAAGAGTCTGTCAGAATCAGTGGAGTTAAAAATAATACTTACAGTAGATATACCAAAGTGTCTTTTTCCATGCCCATTGTGACTCCTATCTTGCCTGACAGCTAGACTCAGTCCAGCTCCATTCAGACAAGGTGTGTGCTCTTTAGACAACAGGAAACTATTACTTCTGGTTCTTAGAGGAGCAGTGTCCCACATGCACATCCTTCCTCCTGCTTGTGGGTGCTGCAAACTCACAGTTGTATTCTGCCCCCTGCCACTTTCCCAAGGCAGTACTGAACCTGAAGGGTCTATGATGATTTATGACGAAGCACACAGGAGGAGCATTATGCAGTTTATTGTCTGGCAGGGAAGCTTGTTGCAGCCCCTGCCTATATCTCAATCACTGGTGAGCTTGAAGAGGCTGACCCAGGTATAGGAATTTTGAAAGAATTTTCTGCATGTGTGAAACCGCAGGGAAAAGCTTCACCAAGGAGGGATCTCCAGAAAGAGATCCTGCCCCAGGGGCAGTCAGCCCTTAAATGGGGCCTAAGAGAGGAGCAGCCAGGCCACCCCTTCTGCACACACAGCTGAATTGCCTTCACCTGTGCTCCCAGGGCTGACCCGGTCTTTTTCCAGGTGCTCAATCAGTGGTTCAGGCCATGACTCACAGTTCCCATACAAGCTGGAAGATAGAAGTATGCAGGGTTGAAATGTTAGTTTTAATGTAGTGAGCTATTATGTAACATCTGCTGCTGTTTGCTTGTTGTCATGCTCCACATCTCCTCTTATACTTTGTGTCAGAAAGGTTTGCGTTTGTAAATGACTTGGTTTGCTTTCCTTTTTATTTATTTATTCTAATATTTGCCAAAATTGCCGCATGGCAAAATTAATACTCTATAGCCATCCACTTGTAGTTGTAAAAGAGTCTAAAATACATTTTCAGAACAGTAATGTTTCTGTTGAGTAAAATTTTTCTTCAATATTTAAAAAAAAAAAAAAGAAAAAGAAAAAAAGTTTTATGGAAAGCTGCTGAGTATAGAGCCCAGATTGGGCTGGAAGGTGAGGAGCTGAGTAGCTGTGCTGCTGTGGGCGGTGTGGAGCACTTGGGGGCAGCGTTTCACTCACTGCCAGCTTAAGGCAAGCTCTGTATCTTGCACTCTGGTATTCCTTTTTTATTTGTATCCTGTGAAGTGGGGGGAGATAGAAGAGGAGGAGTCCAGTTTGCTAACAAAATCGATTACATCTGTTACAGTACTATATTTCTTTTGAAAAGAGACCTTGATCAATCTCTTTTTCTTAGTTATTTTGGCCTCTTTTCTGTAAATGACTTTATTTCTGCTCTCCTCATTATCTGAAACATTTCAAATTATATATTTATATCTCCTTGCCCTGCTTGCACATTTACATGGAGTCTTTCTAACAGCTTACATCCTGTGGCTAGGCATATCATAGAATTGTAGAGATTGTTTATGTTGGAAAAGACCTTCAAGATCACCAAGTCCAATTATCAACCTGACTTACCAAATTCTGTCTTTAAACTGCATCCTTAAAGCATCAGTAAAAACTGATTTTAACCAACCGTATTGAAGTACACAAATGTTCAAGAATTCCTCATTTGGCCATTCCTTGAAGTTACATGTGAGAGTAGAAGAACTTGTTTTTTCTTGTGATTCCACATCTGAAGTTTTTGGTAACAAAAAGATCTGATCACACCACTTAAATGATTGTATTTTCTTGTTTGTTTATTGGCCTGAAATTTGTGATGTTCAAAATGAAGCAGAGAAAAAGAGTCTAGGGCAGAAAATTAAATGTTCACGTGGAATATTCCATGTACTGTGTCTTGTCAGGCTTATTAAGTCCTGGAGAGAGTATGTGGTTGGTAAGTAGCACATTCGGAGAGCCAAGTATAGAACTCCATAATGAAAGTGGCAGTAATGCATCATGTTTGAGCCTCTTCTCTGTTAACTTCCTTTAAAAATAAAAGTAAGCCTAAAATAAAGCATTTTTCTACATGAAGTGTTCTAACTTCTAATAAAAAACAGGATGACAGGATTCAGCTTTGAAATTTGAAGTTAGTTATATACCAAGTACTTCTGAAGAAATGTTTTTTGTCTCTTGTATTGTTTTTGACTTTTTGTGGTTCATTTAGGACGTTTTCTCCACCCCCACCCTCCTGCTTTTTTTTTTTTTTTTTTTTTTTTTTTTTGCAGAGCCTGGTTTATTACTGAGATTGGTTGAATAAGAAATGGTCAATTAAAGTTATTCTAGTCAATTAGAAATCAATTTTCATAAAAATAAGTTTTAAGAAAATATTTTGATTAATTGCAGTTGGGATACTTTAATGACCTCCTAACAGAAGGAAAACATATTCATTTATATTTGTTGTGGCTCTTTCTGGAGCTAATGGAATTTCCTGTTCATATCACTACCCAAGTAATCAAATATTGACCATTTTAATGACTACTGCAGTCATCCACCAGCTTTTCATTTATGAACTTTTCTCAGCGTGATCCTCGGCAGCAGTACATTTTGATGGTTTCTTATGATCTTTTTTACTTTGTTTTGTGTATAGTTTTTGCATGATAGTTTTGTATAATAAATGTGTCGGTCCTTTTGGAGCGTAGGGACACTTATGACTGAGGCCCTGTCACACAAAGCCAAAGAACTGGTTACAAATAAATGGGTCTGTATAAATGCCACCTGTGGGCCAGCTCTCAGCTTGTTCTTTCTCGAGTGTCAGAGGAGGTGGGAGCATCATAACAGTACGAGTCTGAGGTATGTGTGCATGTGCTAGTTCATTTATACGCTTTCATGAGCAGTGAGGGGTGTAATATATTTAAAAAGAGTACAGGTCAAATGTGGAATAGGAGTCAACAAAAGCTGTTGAGATTGGCAGATGAAGAAGGAAGCAGTCTTTCAGCATGTGCTGATGTGCCGAGATCCTCCTTAAGTATACTTATTAATCTCTCAAGTTTTGAAAGCTGCACACAGTTTTTAGTATATGGCACTTTGGTTCAGAGGAATGTGTTCTCCCAGCTATGTTCAGTTATGTTCAGTGCAGTTGTTCTGTTACTTACCTTTGCTTTCCCTGCTTTACTCCAGATCACTTGTATATGTTAATGAAATACTCAGTTTCTTGTTACAGTATATCTACTCCAGTCTGTTCAGGACGGGAAAGTTGCATGGCATATTTGTCAGTCACTCTGTTATGTATTCCTGGACATGGATTAGTGTTGACTTACCAAATGTCCGTTTTTATACTTTGCTTTAAGGGGTTACCTGAACATTCAGCCTCCCCGCCTTTGCCAGCCAAACAGCTGACGCAACTCTGCAAACTTACCAAGCTGCCTGAACCATTAAACAGGTTTCTATACATCCTGGTACATGCCAGTATGGTGGTGGGAATTAAAACAGGTTGTGAATGTGTTGCATTTTATCAGTGTAGACTTTAGACTTTCTGTTAAATGTCCACAAGTGATAAGAGAAAGGAAAAAAAAAAGATAGAAAAGGAACTGCCATTTGGAAATCAAAACCAAGCTTAGAACTCTTCCACGGAGGAATTATAGAGGTAGGATTGGCAATGGTACTAGTTCAGCCTATAGAATTTTATAACCTTTCTGCTGTCTTTTTTTTTTTTTTTTTTTTTATACCCTTAACCTCTGTGAGCTAAATTTCTTTTAGTGTCTTTAGTTTGTCAGTAACAGATGAGAATTTTCATCTTAAATAGAAGCAGGGTCATGCTCCCAGGAGATACAAGCTCTTCAGTGATGCAAGTGTTGCCACGGTTTGATTTTCCAGAGGGCTAGAACTGAAAAACACAACCTGTAAATTAGAAGATGAGCTTTTAAGTTGGTCTTTGAGGACCAGTCAACAAAATTTGCATTGAGAAATTAAGTGTGTGTTAAGGACAAGAAAAATTTAAGCTTATTCTTGCTTAAAGGGAAGCAGTGTCTTCATTTCATGTCTTTGGCAGCCTATCTTTTTTATTTTTATTTCTTTTAAGTGGTTAACAGTAAGATGACTCTACAAGTAGTCTGGTACCTTCTAACATCTACATGCATGTATCTGTACTTAAAACCAGAATACATGTTTGACTCTAAAAGATCCATAAATCCCTGAAAAGATGAGTTAATGGCAAGAGATTTGTTTCCCCCAAGATGAACATGCATCTTATATTGACTAGTCTGAAAACGTAACAAGAAGCGAATAGATAACAGCGTACAGTGGATAAGGAAGTTCCTACCTATTCCACTTTTGGTTTTTTTGTTCACATTTGGTGACCACTTTTGTAAATTTCTCTTTCTTAAATTGATGTTACTTTGTGCATATAATGCATTATTAAAGAAAAAAAAAGACTTTCCTAATGGATTGAATTCTTTTTTTTTTCCTTCCCCAAGTTCTATATCTGCTAAAGCAAGTAACGCCAGTTCTGACAGTTATTCTTAAGAGCATTTCCTTCATGGTTTTAAATATGCATTAAAAATGGGGCAAAACCTGCTATATGTAGTCATTGTAGAAAGGAACGTGCAGGACACTGCTAGTAGTACACTGTGTACATCAAAAGCAAGAATCAAATCAAAATAAGTTTCCTTTAATTGCCAGCACAGGTTGAGTGACTGTTCCTTCTCTACCTGATCACTTACCTAAAGCTCTTCTATAGTTGCAAGTCATTGCCTAGGGATGTCTTTTTGTTTACCTGTTAACAAAAAAAAATCAAATGTTTTTCATTTTATTTTAAATGATCTAATATAATTTCTTCATTGTATTGATATTTTTAATAGCCAACTGTATTTCTGAGTGCATCTGTGTCAGCATTTCCTATTTTGTAAAGCATTGCCATGTAAACTGTAGGATATTTATCATTTGCTTAATTTACCATCCCATGAAGTTCATTGTTCTCTGAAATGCTGTGGATACCCTAAGCCTGCATTTCCACACTTTTGTCCAGAGTTTGAGTTTGTAAACTTTTAAATTCTGCCTGCTAGCCAAAGAGGTTGCATTTATTTTTATAAATATATTTTAGTACTCTAATTTAACTGTGGTAACACAAAGATAAATGTCGTATAAGAAAACAGGTGGCATTTGGATCCACCCTATTCCTCTCTGACTCTTCAAGAGGAAAAGACTGACAGTGGCAAAGCAGAAAAGCAGAAGCCAACAGCTGTGAACATTTCCATTCATATTTGGTTGTCTGAGTTCAGTTGTGCGAGTGCCTTCGAACAAACAAGAAAAGAATAGCTGCATATGAACTGTGTGAGTTGATATACCACGGCTTTCTGAGCGGAATTTAAAGGGGTAAAAAACCTTTCCACTTTGTTAGTTTGTAAAGATACAATGTTTTGCATGTATGTTGTGTTCAATGTGAAATTTATCTCCATGCTAGACAATGGTAAAGAAATGGATCATGAAACTACCATACAAAATAATTGCTTCAGGAGCATGAACAGGTGTATTTGCCCTTGTCTGGGCAATCTGGGCAATAGGATTTTAGTTATGTGTATCTTAGGTCATTTTCTTGGATGTGTAACTGGTCAGCTTCTCTGTATGGAGATATTCCTCAGACGTTCAGCTTGGCTGAGGAAGAAGTGCTGTGGCTGTGAATTACCATTTGGAGTAGAGTAGAAAGAAGTGGGTGGGCTTTTGTCCATTCATTTTAAAGGTGGCAAATGAACTATTTTTTCTTCTAAATATAGACTCTTGAGTCTTCAGAGAAGCTGTATAAAATAATGATAAAATTAAGTGACTATAGTAGGCGCTAAGAAAGCAAAGTACAAGAACTTTTACTTCTTATGGTGATAACTTAATGAAAAACCAAATGTTGTTCCCTGAAAAGAAATACTTTCTCAATTTGCATGAGGTTTATTTAATTGTCCATTTCTTTTGTAGTCTTTTCAGTCTTCTTAGAATTACCTTGTATGTCTGACAGAAAGAATCATTTTGTGGTAGATCAGTTGAAGTCAAAAGAAAAAGTGCACAAATTTACAATGTGATTAAAAATGAGCAACGAGAGCATAGATATCTTAGTTATTTGTCTCCCTTTCTATATGCTTACTTTAAGAGCAGGTAATTATCCACCATATGGCCTTAGTGGTGGGTTTGTGCAGCTATCAGTATGAGGTTTCTTTGTCAAATACAGTTTAGAGATTATTTTTTAAATTATGTGAGTTCTTTATTTGGTGTGATATGCAACTTGAACCAAGCTGGGTTTCAACTGTAGGTTGCATTTTTGCAATTTCTCAGATGTGCCTTTTCTCTTTTAGCTCTGTCCTTGTAACGCTGTAATTAGTAAGCTGTGTCCTTGGTGTATGGTGCCGTTTTTATCAGGTTGTTGAATTGTTTGTCCAGGGTTAGGCTGTATGATTCTTATTCAGAAGGAACTATGTAAATCTGCTTGAAACTGTCATTTGAGAAACAATGCTTTGGTAGATATTGCTACCTATATGTATGTGTATACATATATGCACGCACACGAGTGTATGCATGATACGTGTATATGGATATATACGCAATCTTTGGAGATGTGACCCTTTGTTCACCCATTCATGAAGTCTAAGTAGGTCATAACAATTTCTCTCTTTCAAAGATTACACTGAGCTGGGAGAACTTCCACCCAGATCTCCTTTGGAACCAGTGTGTGAAGATGGCCCCTTTGGTCCAGTGAAGGAAGAAAGAAAACGGACATCCCGTGAGCTTCGTGAATTGTGGAAGAAAGCCATTATTCAGCAAATACTGCTCCTCAGAATGGAAAAAGAAAACCAGAAGTTACAAGGTTGGCGAAGCTCTTCATTATGCACTACTGCAGTAGAAGTTAAATTTTTGGATTGCACTGTGGCCTTTGGTGTTTGAGCCAAACCTTAATGAAATGTTTTAGATACATAAAGTTGAAAAAGTTCAGCAGTATCCTCCTTAGCTTTCATAACAAAAGGCAATTATTTACTTTTTTTTTCTCAGCACTTACCCTTATAATTTGTTTATTTCATATTAACTGCTACCATTTTTAGTTTTACAGTGGTTGAAGTACTTCAGTCTGTTGTCTGGAAGTGATGATAAGGAATTCAGCACAATCCCTATCATGAATTTAATTATTTTTATACTTGCATGTATAAGCCTTTGTTTAAGTGCTGATCAACTCAAAGTTCTGCTTAGACAGTTTTGAAGTTCTTAAGGATCTGGTTGTAGACTTCAGCCTGTAGGTGCATGCAGTAGTGCAGGCACCATGCAAGCAAGCTTTGTATGCAGTAGTAATAACTTAGATTAGTCAAGTGTGATTAGGAGTGTGTGAAACTTTGAGTGGTTCTTAACCCATTTTTTTCCTGTGGCCAAAAGCATCTCTATAACAAGTCTTATCGTGGTGACAAGTTTTGACATTAAAATTCAAAAGGCAGCTCATTAAGAATACTGATTTTATTGTAGAGCTGCATACAGAATCACCAGTGATTGTCTCTGAGAGCTGCTCCTTGTGAATGAGGAGGACAGAAATGTTTGTTTGGATTATTCTGAAAGTTCAGGAAAGGAGTAGTCACTTGGATCCCCCAAGGGTGGGAAACTAGCATGAAAATGCCAATTCTTATTTGCCTTTGTGTAAATATGGAGAGGGATCGTTTTCCACAAAGAACAAATATGTAGAGAAAGGTCCCAGCAGAGCAAAAAGTTTGATATACCAACTATGAAATCCTTTTTAAAATGAGGCTAAGACTTCCAGCTGTAAGAAGGAGATGTTTTCTTTGGACATTGCATATGGTCCCCCAAAACATTTACCTATCTGTAAGCTATTTGCTGCTGCTAGTATAGTTCTCTTATCTGGGCCATGATATCTGAAGGACACTTGAATTTCCTACAAACTCCAAAGGTGTCGGCATATTAATATATTTTATATATAATATGTATTACAGCAAAACATGTCCATGTAAACCAAATACACAGTGATAGGTGCCGTGAAAAGCATTTAGAGAAAGAGATACTGAGAGCAGTGATTTATATAACCCTTTCAATTTAGAGCAGGATATCAGAAATGAGCTTTTATCAAGTTGTTCTGTGCCTTGCATTTTTATGGGATCTTGTATTTGGAAACAAATTTTCTTTGTTTTATATATATATGCTCCTGAACTTTTTTAAATGTTCTTTTGTCTTCAGATTATCTGAATCTACCACTACCAATCAAGTTCTTGGCAACTGCTAGACAATAACATCCATTCAAACTTCAATAAGTTTAATCAGATACTCTCTTGTGGTTTTTTTCCCTGCCCATTTGCAAAACTATCAGAAATTTACTAAGATGCACATGCCTGAAGATAGCTAGTGAATGAATGAGGCAAGTGTTGGCAAATGTGATGGTCCCAGGTGTGCAGTGGGCACTTTGGAGTAAGGAATGTGTCCTAGGTAGCTGCTGAATGTACAATGCAGCCAGTGAAACAGTACTTGCAAAACAGATTATTGTGCTACAGTGAGCACTGTGAGCTGATGAGCTGTAAGGAGCTTCATTGCTTCATTTAACTTGTCAAACGCTGTTTATACAAGTAGTTGCATGTAACACCTTAACAAACAAACAAAAACTGAAACACCAACCCACAGCACAATCACACCAATTTTGACAATTAAGAGGCCTCAGTTTTAGGTAGATTGCACAGTAACTGTTTGTTTGGCAAAGTTCTAAGTGAATTAATCAATTTTACAGGTATTAATCAATGTTAATTGGTGCACTTGCGCTATTGTTTCCCAGCCTCAGAAAATAATTTGCAGAACAGACGTCTGAAGCTTGACTATGAAGAAATCACACCGTGCTTGAAAGAGGTAACTCTGATTTGGGAGAAAATGTTGAGTACACCTGGAAGGTCAAAGATTAAATTTGATGTGGAAAAAATACACTCTGCTGTTGGGCAAGGTAAGCACTGTTTGTAATTTTGTGTTCTTGAAATGCGTGCAAACTGAAAAGGAGTAGGGTGACTTCTTAACCACTCCTTCTAAACAGGTTCTTACTAGAGATGTTTCTCAGGCTGCTGACTGCAGCATTACTGCATTGGTAACAATGTTCAGTATTTTCATGATTACGCATGTGCATGTTGTTATGCATTGTTTCCTTTCAGCATTAGCTGCCCTTGTATTACTGGTGTTAATAGACTGGGTTTTGTTTGTTGTTGTTTATTTTTTTAATGAAAACTGTTTTTATATGAGATGTGCGTAGTACCTCTGTGTATTACAATAGTTGCAACCCAATTTTGTAAATAGAAAGTTGTAATTAAAGAAGTAAGCCTAGATAATGCCAAATACATGACAGTGTAAAGATTGAAGAAGCTGTCTGCAGTGTTAGCTGGAAATCCTCTGTTCCAGCTAGGGGGGTAGTACATGGACATACAAACAGTGAACATTGCTCTCTATAAAACTGCTTTTTATCACAGCTCGTTGCCACAGTTATTCTTCATTTTATACAGATAGAGGGTTCTGTCCCGTCGATATGTGAACATGAGAAACATTTGGTTTCTGTTGTTGTCAGATGATTCTGGCCTGTGTTGGTGTTCTAACCAGCACTTAAACTTGGAGTGATGCAACATAAATAAGTAAATAAGTCCCTGTTTGATGGATTGTTACCAGTAAATTTAAGTAGCCTGCAGATGGGTAAGTTACCCATGGCTTTTGATGCTACAAACATCTCTGTATAGCCTAACTGTAGCAGAACCGTGTTTTTAGAGCCAAGTTTTGTCAAATTTCATATATAAGCAAAAACGAAAAATGCATTTAAATTCAATTTTCCAAGTTCTAGTTTAGATGAAAACTGTTAAAAATAACTTGAGTAAGCAATGCAAATAGGCAAAAAGCGCGCATTTATACTTTTGGTGTGTGTGCATTCTGGTTTCCTAAAATTTACTGCCAACAACGGCATCAGTGTGTTACTGAGAAAATGTTAATTACTTCTATTGCAAAGCTTTATCCTGTTCTTAGAGTGGAAAATGGGTGATAAGCACCTAGCTTTTTAGAGAGTAGTATTACAATATTTGCTGCCTCCTTTAGTAGTTCTCAACTGGTTATAATTGCTAACCTTAGACTTCAGGCAGCTCACCCTGTTTCCACCTTAAATCTCTCCTGTTACATTGCTGGTTTCTTCTGTTTGTGAAGGAAGTACAAGAACAACAGTAGTTTGATCTATGGTCTGCTGGAGGTAGCAGATAGGGATCTAGCAGATAGGGATCTGCTTGCTTGAGTTCCTCAATTCTGTCAGGTCAGCAGTAGCTGAACCCTCAGTATGAGTGGAAATTACAACTTTAATGACTTTCTTCTCAGGAGTACCACGTCACCACCGTGGGGAAATCTGGAAGTTTCTAGCAGAGCAATATCATCTTAAACATCAGTTTCCAAATAAACAACAACCAAAGGACACACCTTATAAAGAACTCCTTAAACAACTAACTTCCCAACAACATGCAATACTTATTGACCTAGGTAAGTACAGCTGGGGAGGATTCTGATTTCTGGAAGAGAAATAAAAGAAAGTAATGTATTAATATACTCTCACCACTTAATAATGGGTTGTTGGTAAGAAGTGCTTTTAGTCTGAACTAAATGCAAACTATTACTTGATGCCAGTAGGAAAATGTGAAATGCATGTTTCAAGCACAAAGGGCCTTTGCAACATGCGGTAATTAGGGACTGGATCTGTATTATAGATATTAATGGTGAACACCACAGATTAGTGGAATAGAAATCCTCAAGAAAATAAGTCAATATTTAAGTGCAGATTGTAGAATAACAGGTGCTGTCCATTTGTGATAACTGGCATTTACTGTCTTCTTAAATACCCTTACTTGAAATGACGCAGAAGTTTTACTTTCAGTGGGTAGATGATAGCAGCTGGTATTTTTACTTGTATCAAAACAATTATGAACAGCTCAAAAGCTCTTTTTAAGACAGTTCTCAGCAGGGTGTTCCCACTGCCTAAATTCAAGCAGCAACTTGCTCCTAATTCAGGATGATGAATTGGTCTGTGGAGGCACACACACTCCAGAGAGTGATTACGAACCAAGGCTTTTAAATTTAAAGTGTCTTGTAGCTGGGCTTCAGACAGATCTATGCCCCCAAAGTAGCAGACTAGCTGGCTGCTCCTCAGCTGGGTTAAGAATTCTGTGAACTCTCCTGCAGTTAAATTAAAGGATTTCTAATGTGACAGTAATTGTTCAAAATTATGCTGTTGTTGACTCATGTTCACATGTCTAACATTTACCTTTACAAAAGTATTTGTGCTTGAAAGAAACTCATCTGATGCAAGTTAATAACACCTCACTGGCGTATGGCTGAATTGGACATTTTTACAGCTAATCCATAGGTTATCCATTTGAATATATGGTCATGGAGATGTATGTGTATACATATAGATAGATACTGTTCTCTTCTCCCCTGGATATTTCAGTTCAGTTTACTGTCTTGGAAACCAAGACAACAAAAAAACAAGTGTTTTTCCACAAGGATGCCATCACTTGCATGTGACATTCCATGGTCTACTGTGTTCTTAACAGCTCTTTCAAATTAAATGAAAGAAGTAATCTTTTCTTCCAGAGCATGATAGAGTTTACGAAGTTGTGTTTCAGGGCTTGAGGTTTGAGTCTGAGGGGCTGCATGCAGCGATAATTAAATTTGAATAAATGAATTTACCATGAAAAAGCTGTCACTGGGAATCTATGTACTGCAACTAGCTTAATATCAAGTTATGGGATGATAAAAATTATAGATCTGTGCTTTGTTTGATCTGAGTGATTAATGCTCATTGTCTTTTTTCTAAAGGCGTCATACAGAGTTATTCTGTCATACTTCTGTTCTTTACAACTGCATTCAAATAGTATTTCAGTTGCAAATAAGGTCATATACCCTTTCTGTCAGGTGGAAGAACTGCCTGGTGAGAGGTCATTTATTCTCAAGAATGTTCAGGGACACCTACTTCTTAATAACATTATATGCAGACGGTTTTCCACATGTACTGAACTGTGAGAAAGATTTCTTGAGTTTAGATGGTGAACTAAGCTTTACAAAGTACATGAGAATATTTTCTTCCTCCTTCAGATGGTGTTATGCAATATTTGGTAAAATAAGTTGAAATACGAAGTCAGTGCATACAAAACAAAAATCTGGCAGAACAGGCGCAGTTCTGCTGTAACTGGTGTAGGCTAAAGTGGGGAGAGTGACCATCGACATTACCTTCACTTCTCTGTATTTGACCAGCTTGCCAGGCTTAGGAGTGGCACTGGGAAGGGCGTGACACTCCAGGTGGCCTTAAGTGGCCAGCTGGGAATAGATGACTGCCAGTGCATGCAGCGTTGTTTCCCACCAGGCTTGGTCACACAGATTCTAGGAATTCCCCTGGATTGCACAATGCCAGACACATAGACACATTTGGGTTTTTTGTTGTTGTTTTTTTTTGTTTTTGTGATAGACATTTATGTGCAATCATAGGTCATTTGCTAGCAAGTACCTAGTAGTCAGTGTATGTGGTTTCAGTACCCCCAGGCAATATAATATATTGGGATTTTGTCACATTGAGATGCCATAGTAAGGGGTGAACAGTTCTGTGCTGAGTCAGTGAGCTGGTTGAGTAGAGCAGAGTCCATGGCACACCAGAGATGGCAGGGGAGAGGAGTGGAATAACGGACAGCAGGAAGCACAGGCAGCAGCCTGAGGGTGAGTTTATAACACCACAGCTTGGGGCTGGCCCAGCAAGCTGTTCCTGTTTTCTGTCTGGTTATACACAAATACTTCTTAGCTCTTTCTCTCACACAAATACTTTCTCTCCTGGGCTCTGCTTGTTGAGACAAGTAACTGTGTGCAAATCAGTGATAGTGCATGGCTGTTTTCCTGCAGAGTACTGTTTTTGTGGGAGAGCTATTTGCTAGCTCAGCTGTGAGGGGAAGGATGGGCTCCTGTTATTTCAGTAAGATTGAACTAGGAAGCTGAAAGCTTTAGTGACACTCACTGAAATATGCTGTACAGCACTACTCTATATGGATAGGCAGCTAAAAGGAATTTGTGTTTTGGCTTCTGTTTCTTCAGGTTATCAGAAGTGTTTCTTTTAAATAGATCCTCAAGAATCCATCTGAAAGCTTGAACTTCTCCCTGGATAGAAGAACTGATGTTCTTGTTATCTGTGGTTATAATACTTTAGAAGCTTTCCCAAATTAACCCCAAAATGTCTTGCTAATGCAGTAAGATGCTAAGCTGTAAAAGTATTGCTTGCGCTTAGTTGAACTGATGTGTTTTCACGTGTAAATACTGCTTCCTGAGAATGAAGAACATTGAGATGCGGATTTAAAGTACAGCAGCCACTCTCCTGCCCCAGTTTATGTTACTGTGCTGCTTTACTACATGCACAACAGCAAAGACACAGTTCCATGGCACTTTTTTTTTTGTCTCTTTCCTTCTCTGGCCATATCTGCTGCAATCAGTGGGGATTTCAGGTTCTGAATGCTAAGTTTCTGTTCAGTAAATGATTTATTTTTTTGCCAGGTCAGAGTAAACTGAACTCCAGATGGTATCAGCATAGGAAATTGCTGTACTCATCACTGGGTGTTTGCTGAACACAGTAGAAAATTATATTTTGTTTTATTATAGGCCAGAAATGAAGTAGTAGATAGCAGCACTCTTGAGTTCATTTCAGCCTCTTTTCAGCAAAACCAGAAATTGTTTACTCTTAAGTGAAAGTTAGAATTTGTGGGTAAGTTAGAGCCAGGGCACTCAGAAACAAATCTGCTTGTGAGTTTAGCACTTTGATCCATCTATTTACTGCTTTGTGAATTTCTTAGCATTTCTATTCTTGCTCAACATGTGGTTTTTCTTTGTGACTTGTTTGAAAGGCACCTTGCCATGTGAGCAAGGCAGCACAGATCTGTCTTTATACAGTGCTGCAATAACTCATTGTTGTGGCAGAGGAGGCAAAAGAATGAAAGTTCCCAGTGCAAGTGGAAGCTAAAAACTTTGCTTCCCCAGCATTTGGTTGTGTGATAGGACCTGGCCTCGGGAGACCTGGTCAGAAATTGCAAGCTGGAGTGGTGTGTGACAGGCCACAGCAGCTACCAGATGGCAGAAGGACTCTGCCCCGGGCTTTGTCTCGTTGAAATGGGAGCTCCCGATGTTATCTAGGCAGCACAGCAGCATTCCAGGAGCTAAGGGGTGGGGTGGTGTTTAACAAGTGGGCAACTGAAAAACATGCTCCACTTAATACTAGAACAAAAGGCATATTCAAATTTCTTCAGTTCAGGTATGTAGCAGGGGAAATCTGACTGGGGGAGACTAGGAAAAAAAAATACTGTCTTCTAGAAACATTTTCAAAAATATCTGTAAAATTGAGGCTGTTAAATATTCTTGCAGAACTGCAGTATCACAGAGTGACTGAGATTGGAAGGGACCTCTTGAGATCATTTGGTCCAGTGCCCTACCCTAGAACAGATTGCACAGGACCATGCATTCAGATTCTGAATGGCACCACAGGTGGATACTGGAGCCTTTCTGGGATGAAAGGCTGCAATCTGATTTTTTGGTTTGGTTAGTTGGTTTTGTTGTTGTTGTTGTTTCAATTTTTTAACATAACCTTAACTGTGTTTGCAGGACGCACATTTCCAACACATCCATACTTCTCAGCACAGCTGGGAGCTGGGCAACTGTCACTCTACAATATTTTGAAGGCCTATTCCCTTCTGGACCAGGAAGTAGGATATTGCCAGGGACTTAGTTTTGTAGCAGGAGTTCTACTACTTCATATGAGTGAAGAAGATGCTTTTAAAATGCTGAAGTTTCTCATGTTCGATGTGGGGCTAAGAAAACAGTATCGTCCTGACATGACAATTCTACAGGTATAATTTCTTTTTTTCGAATACAACAATACTGATGATAAGTGACAATAAAACAATATAGATATAGCATTGTCAACGTCTGGACTTGACCGTAAATTCATTTTTCAAAAATGAAGGTGATGATCTGGAAAAATAATGGATCATTTTAAATGTAGTAGTTTCAAATTAAAATAAGCTATTGGAAAATCTATGAAAGCCATAATCAGCAAGAATTCTGGTATATGTTGTTTTTGAGGTTTAAATTACTCTGTTGTAGGCTCGTGCGTGACCCATCCTTGGTCTTCCATGTGGGTATTTCCGAGTATTTCTTTTTTTTTTTTTTTACAAAAATCAGTCCAGGCATCACCTGACAAATATCTTTCACTGTTTCTAGTAAGATGAAGTGTGGACGTAGCAGTTATGACTGTTAAACCATATTTAGCTTTAGTCTTTCTTCTTCGTGCAGATCCAGATGTACCAACTGTCCCGACTTCTTCATGACTACCATCGAGACCTCTATAACCACCTTGAGGAACATGAGATTGGCCCCAGCCTCTATGCTGCTCCCTGGTTTCTCACCATGTTTGCCTCACAGTTTCCCCTTGGATTTGTCGCAAGAGTATTTGGTAATTCTTCATAAAATCTCAATATGTCCTTCTTGATATCTTGTAATTGGAATCCTGCTATAAGGAACAGTGTATCATCCAACCTGTTCCAGACATCCAGGAGTATTACTTTTGTTTTGTACTACTGTTCATCAATAGAAAGTCCTCCTACAAAACACGTAGCGATTGCAGTAAAATAGAAGAGAGAAGAACATACAGTGGTTCCAAACTGTCACACATTTCATTGTCATTGCTCCCTTTTTTCAGCCTGTAATCACCTCTAGAGAGAATGTTAGATTTGTTACCATTAAAGCATAGTGGCATGACAATACCACTTAAATGCCTAGAGTTACTTTAGTTGCAAGCTGAAAAGAGATGTACGCAAGGCATCATCAGAGAAATTTATCCATTGATTCTATTATCACTGTCTCCAATACTGTAACTTGAAAATGATTTTGAAGGTTATGTTTCTAAAACATACACAGAGATGACCCTTACAGTTTAATAATGGAGTTACTCTACAGAAGCATAGAGCTTTTAAACTCCTGTTGGTTGTCTTTACACTTCTAGCCTGAAGGATAATCTTCTTACTTTGCAAAAAACTGGTAAATGTTATGAAGCACACAGTGTTTAGGCTCTGAAGTTACTTCTATTACTATTATCTGGAATCTGTAGAAGTAGTAATCTATTTTTTTTAATAAATTCAGATGAGGATTTCACCTTGATGCTTTCTTATTGATGCATTTTATGGATTAATTGGTATTGAGAAAGTGCTTTATTTTCAGTTTAGTTCTTTGTTTTTCCATTGCATTATGTGGTACTGTATCTACCATGATAAGCAGGACAGATTGGAACTCTCCTGTTTTCTGTCTTCTAATAGGAATTTTTTTGCCTTTTTAAAATCTCACTTAAGAGATGTAACTACACAGTGATTCATGTTGACACTTTAATGTCTTTGAAAGTTACAGTATCATTTACCACAATAAAAAATGATAAAAGCAGATTCTGAGATGAGCCAACAGCAATCCAATCCTGTTTCTGATCATGCTGCAAGTAGTGTTAAAAGAAATCACAGTGATAAGGATAATATACACTAAATAGAACAACATGTCCTGTCATTAGCATCTTATCTCCAGGGAAAACAGAAATAGCATTTTGTCTTATTTTTTCATTCATTTTTAATTTTATTTATTTTGTGAAAGTTCAAAGTAGATAGCTGTCAATGGAAGTTAACCTATCTGTCAATAATAGTCTTTAAGAATTAAATGAATTGTTGTATGCAAGTGTCACGTACTGAAATTATCAGTTCACCTTTCAGTTATTCTTAATCTATCACAGTACTGTATGTGACAGTAACAGTCTTTGAGTTGGATGTTGACTGCAATGAAGATTATAAAAGTGCTTTGTTTATCTAGTATACTTGGATTTCTGCCTTTCAGAGCTTTCAAAAGCAAGATTTTGCATTAGAATAGAAGGCAAAGATGTATGATCTCCATAGAACTGAATTTAGGTCAATAACAGAAAAGCATATGTGATTTAAACTGTCACCTAAATCTCAAATGTTGGAGAGGAACTACAGCATGACCAACACTTGCAGGTTTTTAATGTCTGAAAACATGTAGGAATGTCTTTCTTGAACCAGTGTTTACTGGAATTATATAAATAGAGAGTGGTGGACATTATTTTACATTAGAAAGTAAAATCTTATCTTCATCCATGTTAAAGACTGAAACAAGCAACTGTAAACTGAAAAGGGCTAAAGCTGTCACTGTATTAGTGGCTGCTACGAGCATTATGGCAAATTAGGATCCAGCCAGTTCTGACTCCTATATTCACAGACTTTTGAAGAGCTTAGGTACATTTTTATTGCTCACTGATTTGACCTCTTGAGATTAATGTTTTCTTTTAATGTTAAAGTAACTTATCTGTAGGCTATGAAGACTTAGAGCATACTGCCATTTTGTAACATGTTCTTTGAACCCTTGATGTTTGAAACCTTGCTGCTACTTATACAATTGTTCTTTTGTCTTGTTATAAAGAATACTTTTGCGAGTGTTTCACAAGTAATATGTAAGAGCAATGGACTATAAAGAGGTTAATCTAAGGACAGTTTTACGAGTAAAACAGAAAAACTGCTTTTTACTTTTTAATTATCTGTACAACTTTCAACACTTCTCCTGTGCTCAATCTAATGAAAGTATAGCGTAACAAAGATGTATTCTTTAAAACCCATATTAACTTATTTAAAGAGGAGACTTTGTATAAGTAATGCTTATTTTATTCCAAGATTATAGATAAAACTTAAATTTTAAATCCTTTAGGCTGCCAGTCACGCTGACATTAATTTGGTACCTTCACTGTGCTGGCGTTGGCTGGCAGCCCACTGAACAGGAAGTGTGGGGAGTGGATAACAAATGGGTCTTTGTTAAGTACTTTCTGTTTTAAATGAGAGAAGGATTTCAGCTCTGTATTACCAGCTCAGCTCATACAGACATTTGTTAACAACTTACAGGTCACCTTGAGTTAAACTCTCTGTGGGGCAGGTGCTGAATCACAAATACACTATTCTCTGCTCTGTTTTCTCTTTGTTTTTCTTAGCTGTTTTCTAGCATTCCATGTCAAAACATACAGCTTTCCTTATAAAACATTTTCCCATAATTTCCAGTTTCATTAGACAATTGAGGCAGATTCCTACTGTTATCCCTTTCCAATCATTCTTGCCTTACATTGAATTTAGATGAAAAGTTTTATGCAACTTCTAGAATGAGTAGCAACAGAGTGCAAGGTTTATGATTAGTTATTGATTGTGCTTTTCTTTCTCAACCAGTGAGATAGAAAAGTGAAATGACTTACTGTTTCAAAATCTTCAATGTGAACAAACAGGGTAGTGGGTTGAAATTTCATTCTGATACAAATCTGGAAAGAAAAAAATTGCTTTTACGAAGAATGGCAGTTAGTGCTTTCATATGTTCTTTACTACATCAGAGAAACCTATGATTTTGCTAGCAGTCATTTCCATTATCACGTGTGGTTTTTTTCTTACTTTAATTTTTAAAATTGTGAAGGTACACAGTATGTTGTGTTATCGTTTTACTTTGTGATTCTCAGCTACTTCATTTGCAGCTTCAAATACAAGGAAAGGAAAGAGCAGGAGAAAAGCCCTTATTAAATAAAAACAAGCATAGGAAATTCAGAATAAAACTATGTTATCTTCCTTTTCCTTACAAGTAAAAGTGGTGGGCAAGAAAGAAGTTAACTAGAAGACTGTTTTATGAGTTAAACATAAAAACTGATTTTTACTTCTTAATTATCTGTACAGTTTTCAACAGTTCTGAACAGAATCTAATGAAAGTAAAGCATAATAAAGATGTATCCACCAGTACTGTTTCGTATGTTATATATTCTGGCTCATAATGAATCTTTAAATAAAACCAATAGAAGATTCTGAGCAGGAAAGTCAGATGCAGGACAATGCTGTTTATACTGTGAACATATAATTGGTGGAATCAGATGGGTTTGTTTCTTGTCTAATGCTTTGATTGCAGTCTTCTATATCTTGCCTCTTTAAAGACATAGGAAGTTTGTAAAGGAAAAGAAAAGAAAGGAAGTTGCATTGAAAGGTCACTATGTACTGTGGCTTCATTGTGCTTGAATGTATGCCAGGGTGCTGTCACTGCAGGGCCACCTGCAATGTTAACGCTTAAACTGTATTACTAAGATTTCAGGGTACTTATTCCTGTAGCTGTTAGAATATTAATGTAAGTGGTTGAGACACCTTCTAAAAATAAGCACATGCACATGAAACTTGATGCTGCTGGAAAATGCACATTTATCTACACATGCCTCAACGCTGTCTTACTGAGATTTTGTAGCTTTATCCATCAGATCAGAAAACAGAGCTTCAAATCTTCAGTTGTGTCTTTGGAATTAGTTTCTGCCTGCTCTTCTAGGATCTGAAATGGCACTGAGAGCAGAGATCCATTTAACTTCAGAGCTGCAGACTTAGCAGTAAATTCCACAATTTGTAGTTTATTTCTTTATTTCCCACAGACATCTCAAAAGAAAAAAGCCCACAAAGCTACTAAATGCACAAAAAGTAGTGAAACTGCCAAATTTGACTACGTGACTTATTTTATGTTCTTTGCTTAAATTTGAATTGGATTTGTTGGATGAAAACTCACCGAACAAATTAAATAATCATGTTAGTCAAGTGTGCATTCACAGTCATAGTTGGGATTCTGCAAGAAATCTAAGACTATAGCCTCAATAATAAATGTATGTGTCCAGCAGAGTATATCTAGCCTCCAGATCACCTTGGGAGAAATTGTTATTCTTGGACATTTTATTGTTTTAATATTCTTGTCAAAAGATGGGCTTACTTATGTGCTCTATTTTTTCCTTTGTTTTCACAGATATGCTGTTCCTTCAGGGATCAGAGGCTATATTTAAAGTGGCCTTAAGCCTTTTGGGAAGCCACAAGCCCTTGATTCTGCAGCATGAGAACCTAGAAACTATTGTTGATTTTATTAAAAACACTCTCCCCAACTTGGGTTTGGTACAGATGGAAAAGACAATTAGTCAGGTATGAAATAATTTGAATGTATGAGTAATATGCAAAGAAATAATATTATTTTTAACAAATTCTTGGCAGAAAATTCACAGCAGTGTATTGTGTTACTTCCAGCTGAGAAGAATTCTGTAATTGTAGTTCTGAAGATGCTGAAAAATTTTGGAACTGTATGACTTGTATTGTACCCCTGTATTCTTACATATATGCATTGGTTATGGTCACTTTATGAAGCATTTAATGAAATTGAGAGTTTGGGGTCTCCGAATAATATTGCTTTCCAAATCTAATTTCAGGAGCAGAAGTTGACTTAAAAGAGCCTTAAAAGTGCTGACTTGGGTTTTACAGAACTAGAGGCCTTCCTCTAGACTTTGTCTATTCTGGCTTTATGGTGCTGTCTTGGTATGTTGCAGCAGTGGTTTTGTACTTAATCCTGAAGAACAGGGGAGTAGACAGTGATTATAGACAGCAAAATCTGGGAATTCTAGAGCCTTTTTTTTTTTTTTAAATAGCAGACTGGGAGAATCATGCAATATTGCTAAGCTAGCAGATGGCTCCAAAACTATATACATGTGAATTGAAACAAAAGGGGAAAGAAAGTTGGAGGTTTCTGTGGGTAAACAGAAGTATGTTATCTACCAGGCTTAAAGCCCAAAGTGCACAGCTCTACAAAGACTCAGAGTGCTCAGGTGACCTGCAGGAAGCCACTGGCTTTGAGCAGGAGGATGACAAGATGCTCTGTTCAGGCATCTCTGAGTGCTCTTAAATTTAAAAGTGGGCAGGCAGAAGTGAGTACGAGGCAGAGCCATTCTTATTCTTTGATCAGATCTGCCTTTGAAGAGAGTGGCAGGTTAATGTGCCCTGCAGTCCATATACAGCTCCTTACTCCTTCTGCAACATGGCCTTCAGTATACGTGCCACAGCTTGCCTTCAGTTAGTTAGCTTTCAAATCAAGCTTTTGATTTGCCTCATTTTTCACCCCTTTCAGATTTGATACTCTGGATATGATGACAGGGATTTCCCTCCCTTCTCAAAAGCAAGTGGTAGAGGCAATGAGATGAACCTGCTGAATTGCACTTTGTTTTTTTTTTTTTTTCAAATTGCAGCAGTGTGTTTTCTCCAGAGATGCTCAGATCATACAGAAAATTAGCATTCCATATGTGTAGCCAAACCCAGATTAAAACTCTGTCTTCAGTGTTTGGATTTGTATTTCTTCTGCTATACAACTACTTGAGATTATTTTCAATAGCATATATAACAGATGTTATGAACATTTCATAATCCTGATGGTTTATTTAACTATAAATAATGCATAGGTAATGCAGCAAATGAAATAGGAAATAAATATCTGATGAAGTATCAATAATTAAGGTGTGTTTTTTTTTTTTTTTTTACTTATTTCTAGGATAAATAAATTACAAGAGGTTTAAAAGTAAATAATGAGTTATGGGTTTCTAATCTTGAGCTATTTTCAAGATTCATTTTAAAATCACCTTTACATTTGTTTCTTCTATGTTCTGTAATTGGCCACTTGTCCTTTTCATTTAGCTGCTTTTTCACTGCTGCCAAAGGAGATAATTGGACAGTTTTTGATTTTTTTCCTTCAGGTTTCTCTGTGTGCCTCAGTTTCTTTATCTGCTTTTAAAATACAAGGTTTTCTTAATGCTCACTTACAACATTGAACACTCATGTCAGTGATTCATAGTTAACAATAATAATCTACTTTGACATTACATAATTATGTAATTATGAAGTGTATTTGTGTAAGGATAGATAACTTCATCTTCTTTCAGTCTCTCAGTAAACCATTAATAAGCTTAGCAATGTCTGCTGGTTTTCATTTGAAGCTGTGCTACAGGAAAACTCTTAGACTTCTATGTGGCCCAAGAATTTGGATTGCGCTTTCTGGAAATGCATCTAATTCCACATATGTCTGCAAAAGTTCATGCCAAACTCAGATGCATGAAATTTGCAAGCTAGGAAAGGGAGTGCCATATAAATTCTGCACTTCTTGAAAACTTCAATATAAGTGATTTTGCTGAAGCACCGAATCAGTACCAAAGTTTTAAATTGAATCCAGATCCAGTGCCAGTGTTTGGCTCAATCTTGCCATTTCCAGAGTAGGAAATGCTAATGCCAAGAATTGTCTTTTTTTTTTTTTTTAATGCAACAATTCAATACCCATGTGTTGACCTGTGGGTTTGAAGGCACCAAATGAGCTGTAGTTTTGATTCGCATAGCACCTAATAATGTTTTCATATACAACAGGTGTTTGAAATGGATATTGCAAAGCAGCTGCAAGCTTATGAAGTTGAATACCATGTGCTTCAGGATGAGCTTATAGATTCATCTTTGAATGACAATCAGAGACTGGATAAGTTAGAAAAGGCAAACAGTAGCTTGCGCAAACAGAACTTTGAACTCCTGGAAGAACTGCAGGTACGGTTTATATTCATATTAATATTCTTATTTATCTAGGTTTTTTTTCAGAAGAGACCATTCTACACTAAGGCACAGAAGAGATTGGGATTTAGTCTAGTGACTTAAAAGCTTAGCAACTTGTGGCTTTATTTGGTTTAGCATTTAAAGCTTAAATGCAGAAATAATTCTCAGAACAGGGAGTGAACAGAGCACGTGCTTGCGATTAGCGAAAAGTTGAATCATTGCACTCCTCTTGTAATTAAAATCATAGCTATAGGAGATGATAAAAAATACACACAGTGCTTTCGCAACTTCATTTTTACATTTTTCAGTCACTGCTTTATTACAGCTGCCTATTGAAAATGAAAAGCTAATGCCCTTGTCACAAATTAGAGCTGCGTCATCTGTGGCTTATGTTATCTGTAAAGATACGGTCTTTCTTGCAAAAATGGGGGGGAAGTGTTGTTGGTTTGCTTTATTTATTGAAACACTGTTATTCACGTGACTTAGATAATATGTGAAATAATAATGTCTAGTATGTTTTGTGTGCCCATTCAATTCACAGCCTTTGGCAGTACACCACCTGGTCTCTGTAGGGCTTTTCCTTTGTTTAACTGCTCAAGAAGTCAGCTTTCTGACTGCTTTATAACAGAATATTTGTTATAAATCTTCTGATCGTGCAGTTAATTTGATTGAAAAAAGGGACTTCAAGTTAAAAAACAGATAATATGCTCTACTAACAGTTTCAAAGCTCTTGATTATTGTCAACAACATAGACTCCATAAATTCATAGGTGAAAGGAGTTTAGATTTCTCAGACATTGGTAGCTTACAGTGACTAAGGCTAGCTGACAGTGCAGACCTAGAGGAAACTCTCTTAACAAAAATCTTCTTAAAATGTAAATTCTGACCATACAAGATCTGAAACTGTTACAGGTTGTAAGATGAATCTTACAGATGTCAAAAGAGAAACTGCTCTGCAGGACATTTTTGTAAAGCTTCAGACACATAGATGAAGAAATCGTTGACTGTAGGAGACAGGGGAGAAAAGGATTTTTGGTATCAGATTCAAGATGAGACGTGCTATAGGTAGCTGCAGCAGGGGATTTTCCACCCTGCTCCCATGCCTAAAGGCTTTGCAGTCCTGAGTGGTTTTTATCTGTTTGTTTTTACAAAGGTCATCTCCACTTCAGTGCTGGCAACTCAGCACCTAATATCAGAGTGGAAAACTTGACTATCTGTAGTGTTGCAGCCCCTTTGTTTTGGAGGTGGGCCTCATTTGCCTTCCTTTCCAGTAGTGAAAGATGACCTATTGCAGATGTGAGCAAAAAATATGACCAAAATATGTGGGTCATGATTTGTCAATATTCTGCCCCTGAAGGCTGAACTTGTTAACCTGCCGTAGTTATATATGAAGGGCAATGAACTCCTCAGAAAGGGAAATAACTGAAAGCAGAGACCATTCAGTGCTTTTGTCTGAAAACATTACTCAGTGATGAAACTTCCAAACAGATCTCTGCTTTTGTCAAAAAACCTTAGCTCAGATCTCATGCAAGGAATTGATCTTATATTTTGTTTCATGTGAATTAGAATGTCCCTATCTCCAGCCTCTTGAAGGAGAATCAGGAATGCACAGCAACAGTAATTTATCAAGATTTGTTGTCCATTTATGTATCAGACTAAATCCTCATCTTCCCCTTTGCTCCAAGTCGAGCATTTGTTGGACTCAGTGTTGAGATTGAGTGGGGATGCATCTAACAGGCTAAGTTGTCTTTGCAAACAATTTGGAATTCATCAAACATGGTTGGTCAAAAATGTCTCACAATCGACCCATACAGAGGCTTATCATAATCTGCCATTCTTTGGTATGTAAATTACAAACATAAGTAACTTTCTGATTTGATCAAATCACCTTAGAATCTAAGCTTAATTGTGATCCAAAGCAATCAAGTTAAGAGAGGGATGTTTCTTGTTACAGAGAATAATCTAATAGCCATCTAAAATACACAGGTCTAATCACATTCATGCTTGGATTTTACCTTTATAGTTTTCTTTCATTTTGGAAGGTATTTAGTCAGATATTAATTTCCTTTTTTTTTTTTTTCCTTTTTTCCTCCCTTCTTTCTGTCAAAGGTGGCTAATGGAAAGATCCAAAACCTTGAGGCCACAGTACAGCTTTTATTGACTAATGAAGGCAAATTGAAGGAGTCAATTCTCAATCTCGAGCAGGAACGAACAGCTTTGCAGAAGACAGTGGAAGAGATGCAGAAAAAGACTGGTGATACAAATGAGAAGCCTCTGCTTACTAGACAAGAGCACCTGGATGCTGACTGATCTGCAGTTGTCACAGAGCAGAGAAGCAGAGCAAAAAACAAAGGGAAGAACTGGGTCTTTTTGTCCATCCGTGGAGATACAACATTGTCATCTTCATTGTACATGCCTTACTGTAGCAAAGTGAGATAGAGGCATTATGGCTGCCCAAATCAGAAACAGGTTTCTTGGGCAGGAATCTTTCTTCTTAGTACATAGAAGTGCTCTGAACAGCAAGATGCCGTGTCATTACAGACAGGAGAAACCTACTAGTGTGTGCACAATGCACTGTAAAGATGTCAAGGATTCTTCCATAAGTGCTTCTAAACCCAAGTGCTTTATGTTGTTACATAGTTTGTGTTCATAAACACCATGCTAAATAGCTCATCCTTTAGAAGCTCCTTTGAAAAAAATATGGCAGTGTAAAACCTTCAAATTGATGTTTGCCTTGCTGCAGCTATGCAGTGGTAACACTTGCAGAGAATTTTATGATTGGACTTGAGATATTTTTCACAGTCTAATTCCCCTGCAGCTTGACTCAGCTCTGTTAATTATTCTGTTTACACCTCGGATAACTGTTTCTTGATGCTTGCAGATGTCAATCTATTGGACTCCAGAGAGCTGGACTTCATCGTATGTAACTATGTGTCATTAGGGGTTGCCATCTGTTTTTATAAGTATCTTGTTTTAATATATTTTTGTTTAACATCCATTGGTGTGTTGTTAGTTGGCATTACCTGATAAACATACATACTGTATATAGTACCTGCGTTGTGCTTGACAAAATACACTGACATTGATTTCATGAAGCCTGTAACTCTTGCAGTGTCACCCAAGGATTTATATTTGGACTCTTTAAGTTTCATTTTATTTATTTCTGATCTGCTGCGTGATGTAAGACATCATTTTGTAGGGAAACTAACGCCCCTCTCTATTTTTCCTTTCTTTGATACTCTGCCCACTAGTCCTCTGGGAAATGTTATTCTTTAAGACTTTTTTGTAAGTGTTGGAGGCATTTTGAGAGCTTCATGTTGTGCCAGAAATGCTTAAACTGCTTTGTAAAGGTTATGGCTGCTTGAATTAGGGCACCGTTCTTTTTACAGTGCCTCTTTTGAGTAAGATTACACACAAAAAATAATCAGTTTCTTAATACAATGAAAGTAGTTTTCAGGCCAGTTGAAGCACCACTGCTGCAAGTGCAATAATATTCATGGCAGTCCATCCAGTTGTATGGGTTTGCTTCTGAATTACAGAATAGTACTGTAGGTTTGTTTAATCCTGAGGACAGAGCTAATATGCATCAGCATGTTGTCATGGTGGAGAATCACCCAGAGATGTGATTTTTGTTTTACTTAAATTGTTTTTATTCTTATTTTTAAAATTTCAAAGAACGTAGTTGTGTTTGGTTTTTTGTTCATTTGTTTTTGTGGCTGGAAATGTAGGAAAGGTTTTGTTTTTCTGTTTTCTTCATGCACGACCCTTTGATACATCATGGTTGTAGTTTAACATTCATCTACAGAACAGATACCTCTGTATAGGTCAAAAAGAAAAAGAGAATTTTCTATTCAATTTCCGAACACTTTGTTTCACTCTGTCATGTCTTAAATATGTCTCGTTCTTGCAAATCCACTCTGTATTCATTTAGTATTGAAATTCCAGATAAATTAATTATTATTAATCCACTTACCTCAAAGGCTTGCTTTTTATTTGGAAATCCATACTGGGACTCATGCTTCATGTTTAAAACCATGTCATCATGGACCTCATACTGTTAGAGCACTCCGTAACATTGCATTTTTACACCATAGTGCCATAATTCATACACTGACGTTTTAATGAGCAATAAAAATAATAATAATGTATGCCTACATCAATGTTTTTAATTTATTTTTACATTTAAAAACAAAAATGTAGTTTGTGGGGTGGCAGTTCAGAATCTTGAGACCTGTAGCTGCAAGTGTTGACTCCAGTGAAATGTTCCTTTTTTTTCTAGTCCGTTACCAAGAATCTGTGTAATTGCAGAAGTTCACAGTGTAGATAAGAACTGAAGTAAATGTTCTCAGAATTCACCAAAAGAGCAAATTAATAAGCAACTTTTTGCTTTTGTTACCATATGATAGTTTTATTGCATGAGAGACTGAATTTTCTATTTTTACATTGCAAATTATACAATTTTGTTAAAAATACAGGTGCCTGTCAAAGTGGGGTTTGCACTGTGTGTTAGTCTGGGATCTGAATGTGGATGCAGTAGTTGAAGATACTCTGCAGGTTACACTGGAACAGCTATATGGTATGTTGTTTCTGTATGTCTTTCCCCATCTTATTTCTTTCATTTTTGTTACCAGGCCTCTCTAGTTCAGTTAGTCAAAGTAGAACCTAGAGGAAGGTGAGGTCCATTCACTCAGTTCCAAACTTCAGGAAAACCTGTGGTTTCTCCATTCACAAGTATGAGAAATAAGTAATTAGAAAGCCCTGAGCTGGTCACAGGCACTTTTGCATATTTTTCCAGCTATGATGAACATCCTCAAGGATATATAAAATTAGATTTCCTGTTGCCTGAGTAATAACAGTTGTTATCCCATACTGTCTTCCATCTGAACAGTAATTTCTGACTCCAACTTGAATATTCTAAAAACAAAATACAGATGAAAACTCTGCAAATCTCCTGACCATTGACCCTCAGAAGGAGTCACAAATGATCTGTTTTCTGGAAGATCCAAGTTGAAATGATTCAATCAACGTATTCTACACCTCTTTTCTTCTACAGTTAAAAATCCCCAGGTGTAATGCTTAGTTTCTAAATAAAAGGGGGGGAAAAAAAAACAAGGAAAAGTGAGCTAAGTTCATTTTTGTGTGTAGCCTTGGCTTCCAAAGGTGCATGACAAAGGCAGTGGTGTGCTCTGTCAGTGTGCTAGTGAATGGCATTTATGCAGTAGTCCTGAAAGAGGTAAGTCTGAAATGTGGAAGGAACTAATGCTGGTGTGTGCAACAAAAAAGAGGAATCTACTGTAAAACTACAGCAATGAATAGCACTACGTAGATGAATGACCTGCTGTGGTATGGTGTAATGTCACCGTATTCTCCTTTGTCTTTTCCAGCTAGCATATGTGATAGTGTGTGGTAGGTACTGGAGGCTCCCTGTGCTTCAGGCTGTCTGATGTACTTTTGTATTTTGTTCTGTTGTCTATATCCAGATATTACTACTTAATACAGAATTTGAGAATGATATTGCAATGCCTACTGACTGGGAAGGTCAAAAGGTCTTTATGAAAGGCATTTATTTACAGACCTTCCCTTGTTTAGAGTGAGAACTATATTGCAGCCACACTTATACTTGGCCATGTATCCTCTATTATGAACTTGGCTCCCTGGCTTGACCCACCCTGCCTTGTCTTGATGCTCTGGACTGCTGGTCTGTTCTGCTGGTCCCATTCAAGTCCTGCAGAACAGCCCCTTGCCAGTGAGATGTTCCTCCTGCCTGCCTGTTTTTACCCTCAGCTCCTGGCTTACTTCTCCTTTACTGCTCCCCAACAGATGGCCCTGGAGCATGGCTCCAGCTGTCTGTATTGCTTCTGAATCTGGTGCTGGGCTGGTCAGAGCTTGTTTTGGTGTCTCTGCATGCCACTGCACTCTGAGCAAACAAACCAGTTCTCTTAGAGCTTGCTTGGGGACCTTATAGCACAATGGTCACACTATGTAAAAAGACCCAAATTAGTCTCCCATCTATTTCAAAATACTATGATCCAGATCTTTTTAAAGAGAGTACTGAATTTGCATGTTAGGTTGATGACAGCAGAAAAGTGTCTAAAAAAGAAAAGAATACATTTGACTCCAGCTGGATGAATGCTATGATTGCTTGAGGCAAGAGGCACCTTAGATTGCTGTACAATATTCATACTGTGTCACACCCCGTGAAATAATTTGGTCTTCAAAAGGGCTTTACTAGAACAGGTACGTGGGAGGGAGAAGAGTGCTGGCAGCCATGCTAACCAACAAACTACAGCCCAGGCATTGCCTTCAGAAGGCAAATGTGTTGCTGACACCCACCAACTTTTACATAACCTAAATTAGAATGGATGACTGGGTACACATTTGCTTATGCAGCTGCCAGAAGACATTCCTTTTATCTAAACAAACCTGAGGCTGCAAGAATTCAGTGCCCCAAAGTAGGCCTTTTCAGCATAACCCAAGGTGAACCGGTAAATTTGTCATTATGCAGAAGATACTATTTAAGCCTTTGTATAAATTGATTTGTTTTCTTCTAACTGAATCATGCATTTCCTGGGATTTTGAAAAGACTTTGGGCTATAGATGCTAGAAGATTATGTTATAGGATGAGTGAATACATAGAACCTTCCTATATAGAATATTTGAAAAAGCATCTTGATGTTTAGGATGCTGACTCTAGATAATGAAATGTCTTGAAATATCAAAGATGTTAAATTGCAAGTCAGTAGTTGACTCAACATGTTTCTCCCGTGTATTAATTACAAAGAACTGAGTAATTTGAAGAGCTGACCATTGGCTGGTACTTGGGAGATCATGAACTGTAGGTTCACAATAAGATTAGCTGTACGGAGGAAGAAAAATGAAGTTGTGTTAGCATAAATCAAGCATACATAAGCAGCATGTTCTATCATCAGAAAATCGTTAGGCAAAAATTACTAGCATTAAAGAACTTCAACAGTTTTGATTATCTCATGATTTGTTCCAAGAATTTCAGTTCCAGAAAGGAGTGCTATTTTAAGTGTGATAAATGTTTACAAGGTGTTACTAAATAGGTTCAGAATAAGGGAACAATTGCTTAAAAATGTGGACAAATTAAGAAAGATATATTTGGATGTTTAAGTGGAACCATTGTAATTATTTGCTGTGTCCCAAGTATGGTAAATCCTTGTTTCCCTTTTTGTAAAAATTGATGTTTCAACAAAGGAAAAGAACTTTGATTGTCAGCTTTTGCTTAAAAAAGAAGTAGGAAGTCCTATGATTAAGGGAACATAAGTGTATGTGAGAGAAGGAGGAAATGAGAGTTTCAGAAGCAAAGAGCTGACAGCAGGGATTTACCCAAGCTCTCTGTGTGACCTTGAGTTTCTGATCCCAGCAAACAACGTGCAGTGTCTCACTGCTGTGTCACCTACAAATTCCAGGAATATTTAGCAGTGTGATCTCAAAGAATATGTTGTAGTATACTTCCCCTTGCAAGTCCCTCCTATATTCCCTTGCTGCCTTTCTTGCAGTCTAGACCTAGATACAAATCTAATACAGACACAAGATAAAATGTCTGCAAGTTTTCACATGCCATTTAACCAACGTGTCATGATGAAATGCAGAGGCCAACCAAACAAGAAGAAAAATGTACATCACTGGGGACTCAGGTACTTGCTGGGTCAGCAAGAGACACCTGCTTTGTACTTCAATTCCTGGGCATTTTGGTGAAGTGTATTTTCTGCACAACCAGCAGATTACGATCCAGCAGGCTTCAAGAGATTATGACTCTTCTAAAGAAGATTTCACCCATGATAGTGTGAGTGAAAAACTGAAAACTGAAGTCAACAACTGCTGTCCTTCCTGATCAGACAGGTCACCCATTAGAATAAAGAGCTCATAAAATATTTGACATTTTCTCCTCCACTGTATTCGTTGCCTACTATGGTTTCTGCCCAGTGGTTGCTAGTGCAACCAGCACTCTCTTCTGTACCAGACAAACAAAGGGTATGGGAAGTCTGAAATCTTTTATGCACATCACAATCTTGCTTTCTCAATCAGGAATGGTGTTTGTTGGACCACGTCCCATTCCTGATGCATGATTTCAAACCCAGTTCTTCCCTTCAGTTCCTGACCCTTGTCTTCTCTCTTGAGGTGCACTTCCCTAGTTATCTATAGGTAGATGCAAAATAAGCTGTTCATAAGCTGAGATATGCTGAACCTTCCCCGTGAGTAGTTCATTTGACCAGAACCAACATTTCATTTGTTTGTGTTCTAGCTGTAGTTTGGACTCGGTTCTAACAGAACTAACAGAAATCCCTATGTGGAGTCTGTCTGTGCCCAGCAAGTTTGGATTACACGTGTTGGCCTTCACCATTCCAGGTAGACATGCTTTGGGTGTTATAATGTCAAATTCAAGGCTTCCTCTTGACTAAGTACTCTCAGTATGCTAATATTGTGAAGCATTTCTCTAGCCTTTGACTTTGGCTTCTGCACCTCCTTCCATTTTTCTTAATTGTTGAAAGACTGGCATTGAAATGGTGTACAAAGTTCCACTGCTAGTCTTCTCTATGTTCCTGATTATTCCTTAAGCCTACATAATACTAAAACAATCAAGGTCAGTGAGAAGTTTTCTTGTATTTTCAGAAAGATCATTGGGAACAAAACCTGTGCAAATACATTTCTTATCGAAGTTTGCAAGAATCACCTTAGTTTGCACTGGAAGTCTGTGCAACGTAATTAGCAAGTTTCTGATGTTTCCAGCCTGTCTGCAACATGAGTGATGAAGCACTGAGCTGAGACCAGACTGTTAAATGAGCTTCTAAATGTAAAAGTAACTTCTACGTGTAAGCAACTCAATAGTTATCAACTGTATTAACCTTCCAAGTTGCCTGGACATTCAGTCTGTACTAAGATTTTTGCTTACTACCAAAGTGGCCCGATTTTAGAGACCAAAAAAACAGCTGTAAGTCACATGAGAGGTCAGATGAAATTGTGAATTTTGTGCTGAATGCTCCACAAAAAAGGCCAAGCTCATCCTCTTGCCCTAATGCATATGGCCATTTATCCAAACTGTTTTGTGACTGTAATAGAAATGAGTTTTTTCTTCCTTTCCAACCATCTCTTCCCAAAGGATTTTGCAGAAGCTTCTGGCAATTAGCCTGGATGTGTAGACACTGCTGTTTCTGCAGGAGATTTAGGAGTTAAACAGCTGCCATACCCAGACCTACACCCAGACTGATAATAACTCTCCTTAATCACAAGTTTTGAGGACTTTGTCTCTCAGACCTAGCATGTTCTACACAGACATAGTAAAGCATTACCGTGGTGCACCTTATTGTTGGGCAGGGAAGAAATTTGATTTTAAAAAGCCCACAAACCTCGTTGTTGTTGTTACTGCTGTTTCCGTTTCCTTTATAGCCTGATACTAAGGGACTGCTCCTGGGGGGGAATGTAATCATCTCTTTCAACAGGAAGAAGATGGCAGCCTCGTTATTCCTGCCTCAGATAACACTCGGCCCCTGGGGGAAGTTTTTTGTTTTTGCTGGGTTATTTTTTAATGCATTTATTGCCCTAAGCCTATAATCTCCAAAGCGAAGTAGTGACTGTGACCCTAAGCAAAGGAGGTGCTGTAATGCTTTTGTTCAGTGTTACGCAAGCTGCTGAGTGCTGCACTGTGCAGAGTTCTTCTGCCTCCTGCGGACATCAGCTGCTACGAGATGTGTTTTTTTTTCTGAATGACAGAAAAACAGGACAGCAGGAGACTGAATCAAGTTATTGGTATGGCTCTTCATGCATGCATGCGTGTCTGTAAGCAGGTGAAGATCTGGCCCTACCCACTTGTGGATTTCAGAGTGTTCGTTGACCTCAATATTTCAAACTTTCTACTTTGGTACTGAAGTGCTTTGTAAAGTTAGAGTTCCCTGAGGACAGTGTGTTTTCCCAGCAGTTAACTACTGCCTAAAACAAAAGTTTTTTAGGTCATAAGATTGATGGGCCAGCCTACTTCTTGCAGAGTCCACAATTGCAAACTTGTTTCAGCTATGATGCCAAAGCAAGTGTGACAGTTGGAAAACAATGTGGAAGGGTGAAGATGAAGTGTAGATTAGTCAGTTTTGAAGGGTGATGATGCAGTCTGCGTGGCCCTAGCATTGGGCTTCACAGCAGAGACCCCACTAGAAGCACAGATTGTTGTGCCAAAGGCTGTGCAAGGCATACAGCTGGTGGGACATTAGAGGAACACGGTAAACAAACTGAGTGCTGTGGAGAAGCTGTAAGAAGGGCTGGGTGCAGGCATAGGAAGCAGAAGCTCTGTGAGCAGTAGGACAGTCCTGCCACTGCCAGACCTCACACCTCCTGCCTGCAGGGATGGATATTTGGAGTGCAGCTGGTGGGTCCCAGGGAGATTCCAGAAGCAGCCCTGTGGCTGAGCCTGTCTCCAGATTCCCATATACACCAACTTGAAAGATGTAGATTTTGCTTTGATTTGTATTGATTAACTGCAGGTCCTAATTTTTATGTAACTTGTATTATAGAGGACAGTTGCATTTTTCTGTTATCTCTTTCCTAGGTATCTGCTTTGA